ATTATACAGAATATTAGTTTTTCTCCTTTTTGAAATTTTGATGGTTTCCTCTTGTTATTTTGTTACCTAGTTGTGGTTCCTTATCTCACTTGATTATTTTAAACTAACTAATTAAAAAAATATTTTATTTTGTTGTATATGCATTAATGTTTTGTAAAGACATATTTGTGATAAATCAAGATCAATTAGTCTAAGTTGTCTGGTTGTTCAGATCAATTATTGTATTAAAGCTTCTCCTTTTATATTAAAATACAGTCTTCCCACCAATCAATTTAATTTCCACAATTAGATCGATGTCCTTGGTAGCATTAATATATACTCGAAACTGATTTAATTGTTTTTAAAGAACAAAGGTTCGTATATATAAGGATTCAGAAAATCAAATTTAATTTGAAATACCGAATCGGCTAATTAATCCTATAAAATTGTTCAAGATCATAATTATAATTTACACTTATGTATCATGTACCGTTGGTTATTATTGATACAAACTTACTTTTTTTTTGTTTTTGAATAAATACAAACTTACTTTAAAACGTAACTCTTGCAAGGTTGGAAAAGCCATAGGTACCCTTTTTTAACTAATGATTGTTGACCTGATTCATGCAAAGCAATTTGTTAGATAATGTAATTAATACTTTTACGATCATTTGTAAAAGTAGAAGAAAAAAAAATCGAGATTAATCATGATAGTTTGGTTGATAAGAATGTATTTTAAACAAAAGTGTAAAATCTTACGATTATATTAATGTCAAACTTGCATGCATGGCGATAATGCAAAGTAATCTATTCAAAATTTGGGATGTCCACAGAGAAAATGTCCACAGAGAAATCAAATATGATACAAAAGAAATGATAAACCTCGGATATGATTTTACGATCATTACAGAGAAATGAAATATGATACAAAAGAAATATGATACAAAAGAAATGATAAATGATTGATAAGGTAGCTAGCCGATTAATTACAGTTCTAAATATCCACAGATCATTTCTAATACTTTCATAGAACTCTATTCAAATTTCTTCTAAGTTGAAAATGCAACCACTGCGCGTAGACTATATGATATCAAATATCTATATGTGTATATTTTTTATGTAAAAGAAACTACTATAAGTCAAAGAACCAAGAGTTTCTAGAACAACAATGAGATACAAATTTTTTTTTTTTTTTTAAACAGCCTAGACTTGGAAATTGATGCTTACTTTGAGATGAAGTCAAACTTATTTTACAATGAGTCATAGATAACTGTTTATCTGTGGTCTTCTCGATATCGACGTTTATCCTTACAGCACACGCTTTTTCATATATATCATCGATTAATTTCTTAGAAGCTTCTTCTTAATTCTAAGTTCTAACTAACTGCATGCACTTTCTATAGTTTTGGACTTAATGTCTGAACTCTGAACAAAGCTGTTCTTTTATGGTTCTCGAGTCTCGACTATATGTTTGGATTGAAATATGGAAATTATACTAAAATTATATGGAACCTACAATACTAAAGTCGATATTAGTTGAAGTAATTTTGTTAACACAATGTTATATATATTATATATAGTTGAAGTTTCCTTTGGCCATTATAAATTCATCTTGGTTTTTTACCCAAAATTTCTATCATATATTTAAGAAAGTCTGAAAGTTAAGAAAGTCAGAATATTGTATATACCTTTTTGCTTGTTTCAATAGAAATTCACTTATCCAGACAAATGTTTTATAAATTTCAGCAAATGATCCAAATTCAAGAAGTACATCAGAAATTAAAATAACCAATGACATTTGATTGGCTGTAGAGAGAACATTTCAACCCAAGTCACGACAAATCGAGATGATGGTTTGTTTCCTGCCCTTTAATTTGACCTATTAGTTAAATAGAATATATAAAGTGATAATGCGATTGGGCGATTTTTTCACGCAAGTGTTTCTTTACGTTAATGATTATTAAAACTAAGACAGCTTTTTACCTTTTCAAAATGAATAGTATAATATATTTAAAAAGTTTAGAAAACTAATCCAAAATGCAGAAAAAGCAAAAACCCTAGTTAGAAAAATATACAATTAGGGTTGAAGTTGAATTATGAGGAAGACATTAAAACGCGGAGAGGACTTCATAAAGTTTATATAATAATTATACATTTTTCCGTTATAATAATCATCAACTAATATCCTCTTTCTTCTCGTCTTTATAAACCATCCCTTCTAAGCATTAGATCATTTCATCATCACATCAATCATATCAACACTTCGAAGAAGAACACCAACGACAAGATCAAGAAAAGACAACAGATTTGTAAGAAAATGGGAAGAGCTCCATGCTGTGACAAGGCAAACGTGAAGAAAGGGCCATGGTCGCCGGAGGAAGATGTGAAGCTCAAGGATTACATCGACAAATATGGCACTGGAGGCAACTGGATCGCACTGCCTCAGAAGATTGGTAAGTAACAGTTCTACTTTTGTTTTAATTATAATCCCGTAAGGCCATAAACTAATTCCACATAGTGTATTAAAAGATACATGTTAACCTCTCTCTTCATTTTTTGGGTTTAGATTGATTAGATAAAGTTTTGTTCTGATTTTGAGATTTGTATAAATTATATAGGTTTGAAGAGATGTGGTAAGAGTTGCAGACTGAGATGGCTTAATTACTTAAGACCAAACATCAAACATGGTGGTTTTTCTGAGGAAGAAGATAGTATCATCTTGAGTCTATACATTAGCATTGGAAGCCGGTAAGTGATCTATCTCTCTTGATCTCTACTAAATAAGTAAATTAACACATAGAAATTATTATTCTTGTATTTTAGAGGTAATTATTCCTATAGAAATTCAAAATTGAGATTCTTGTCTTTTTACCTTTTGTCTATGAATCTTGTGCTGAAACACATGCAAGCCCATCTTTCTTCAAACCATGGTATCTCTCATAGAATTTAGGGTTTATATTGTCTCTTTCTTCTTGTTTTGGTGTCTTTGTAAGAACCTTTATACATTTATACCTATGAAACGTGTGATTTCTGATATAAGGGCTTTCTAATAAACTTTCCTATAATCTTAACATTCATGTGATATATGCAGGTGGTCCATAATTGCAGCTCAGCTTCCTGGAAGGACTGACAACGATATCAAGAATTATTGGAACACAAAACTGAAGAAGAAACTTCTTGGAAGACAGAAACAAATGAATCGTCAAGACTCCATGTCCGATTCCACTGAAAACAATGTCACCAACAACAACAACAAGAGTCCTCAGAATCTGAGCAATTCAGCACTCGAGAGGCTCCAGCTTCACATGCAGCTTCAGAATCTACAGAACCCTTTCTCTAGTTTCTACAACAACCCTATCTTGTGGCCCAAGCTTCATCCATTGTTGCAGAGTACCACAACTACTCCTAATCAAAACTCTAAGCTTGCATCCCAAGAAAGCTTCCACCCCATAGGACTTAACGTTGATCATCATGAGAACAGCGATATCAAGCTATCTGAGATGAACAATGGAGTCTCTCCTCTCTATTCGGAGAACGTAGAGCAATCCCTAAACCCTGCTCACGACTTTCAACCTAATTTCGGGTTTTCGCAGGACCTTCGATTAGATAACCATAACATGGAGCTTATGAACAGAGGTGGTTCTAAAGAACTGTTTCAAGTTGGGAACGAGTTCGAGCTAACGAACGGTTCGAGTTGGTGGTCAGAGGAAGTGGAGCTAGAGAGGAAAACGACGTCGTCGAGTTCTTGGGGATCAGCTTCTGTTCTTGATCAGACGACTGAAGGAATGGTCATGCTCCAAGATTACGCGCAGATGAGCTACCACAGTGTGTAATAATCTATATCATGCATATATGTGTAAAACTATATATAGGGATGCATTATTGATTATATATTGTATTATTACTTACAGTCATAAAAGCTTATATAGCATGTTCATGAGTTTTTCATAATATCTTTAAAAATGTAACGAGTTGTGGATAATAATGTAAATCGTTAATTCTACTTGCTTTTGTTTCATAAGGGCATCCTTATTGGGGGTATCTTAGCCTCCTAAGATACCCCCAATGGGGATGGTCTAAGATATTTCTAGTTTTCTACTACGAAACAGTCTACATGGGTTTAAAAATTTTCAAAAGTGTGGGATGCTTAATCGCCTTTTAATGGACTCGAGGAAAATGGGCTTGAACGTTTTTTTATTTCTAAAGGCCCATCAAAAGACGCGACTCATTGAAAGTGACGTGGCATGACAAAGACAAGCAAGCAAGCGAAGTAAACTAAAAAATTCCCTCAACTAGAAAGTAAAATAGTTTTGTTAGATTGACCAAAATAATAAAAGACAACAGCCATTACATAAAATGTTAATTAAGGGAACATTTATAGGTCGGCTAGATTTTAATAGTATTCAGTAATCTCGTATCTGTTATCCGATAATTTCTGATTTAGATCCATGTAAAACTAATATAATTTGATCAATTCTATCCCCAATAAATTAAATCATGGACGATCACTGGCCTTGTCCTTGTGACACTTGATATTAAGAAACCAATTGAAGTATCATTCAACGCCAATTGATAGATACATTTTCTGATTTTCATATCACTCTTAAGATTTTAATTTAATTTCATCACAACAACTTCTTTAATATGTCTTTTGTATTAAAAATACAAATAAAATAGAAAACTTCTTATATGCATGCATGTGAGATAATCACTTAATCAACTATACAAATAAGCTGAAAAAACAAAAAATAAGGTGCAAAAATAAAAGAGTTAACCAAGAAATTAATATACATGATGTATAAGACAAAAAATTATATAAAAATCCTAATTGACATATTAATTAACCATAAAACCGTTTAACTAAAGAGAGACATAAAAGAGTGGTAACCATAATCGAACATGGAAGCCACATTGTAGTTGACATCCCTTAAAGGTCCAAATTCATTAATCAATTCATCAAAATTCATAACTTATAAATAAACCACTCACCAAAGTCATTTCTCTTCACCACCCACAAAGCCATCTTTCATAGTCCACACCGCAAAGATGGCGACCGCTTCATCGACGACCCTAGTCATTGTCTTCACAATTTCCCTTCTCTTGGTCGGTTTCCAAGAGGTCCATGCAGACTATTACCGTCCAAGGCCACCAGTTACACCTACCCCTTATGTCCCTACGCCACGGCTCCCACTCCCGAGCCCCAAGCCTGTTTATCGGCCACCTACTACCCCAAGGCTACCCGTTGGCTCAATCGCTAGATTGTTTCTTGACCCACATAACGCTATTCGGTCCAGACTAGGTACCTTATTAGTCGATGGATCAATTCCACTACCATTTCTTTTTAATTCTATATATAGCTATTGATTTGGTGAAATGAATCTCATTCTCTATCAGGGTTGTCTCCATTGGTCTGGGACGGCAAGTTAGCGAGCTACGCGACATGGTGGGCGAACCAAAGGCGTTATGACTGCTCATTGTCCCACTCCACGGGACCATACGGTGAGAACCTGTTTTGGGGAAGTGGCTCGGACTGGACACCAGGTTTTGCGGTGCAGTCATGGGTCGTTGAAGGAAGGTCCTACGACCACAACACAAACTCGTGTGACGGAAGTGGAATGTGTGGTCACTACACTCAGATGGTGTGGCGTGACACCAAAAGGCTTGGGTGCGCGCGTGTGGTGTGTGAGAATGGTGCAGGAGTTTTCATCACTTGTAACTACGACCCACCGGGTAACTACGTTGGAGAGAAGCCTTACTAAAAAGGACATCAAACACTCTTAAAAAAAAAGGGGTTGTCTTTCTACTTGATTTCAATTAATTTCTTAATATTTCCACTTTCCAATATCTTCGTAAATTGAACTTTTCGACAGATATCTAATTTGTATGGATCATCGTTATGTTTTTTTTTTTGGTAACAAAAAAATTGTTCTTGTCGTACGTTGCATTTTGGTGAGTGGGAGTCAAGTTGCGTTTTGGTATTTGGTTCACAGTTGTTTTGTGTTTGTGTGTGACCAAGCTTTACTAATTTCTTTTGTGTTCTAAAAGATTCATCATATATGGGGTCACTATGTCTTAACATATGAATATGACTTCGTTGATGTGTTGTTGGAGTTACATCAATTTTCGAAATTTGAAGTGTGACCCATGAAGACATTAAAAACACTTACATTATCAGTGTAAAAACATCTAGCAAAAAAACAAGCTCTCTACGTTCATTGTTTTTTTTCCTTATTCGAGCTTTATGGGCATTCATATCCACATGCCAATATATATTTGAAATTCACATATATAAGACAACTCACAAAAATATTATATGATTGGTGCAAAACCTCTATAAATAGAGAGACTAAAAAAAGGTGTCAGAAGCTTAGAAAAAAAAAAAGGAGCCACCGGCGGAGTGTGAGCGGCCGCCTACTACGGCGGCAATGTTTAAACGGAAAAGCCCGAAGTGTTTCTCTATCTTGTCAATAAGATTGCGTCTCCATGTCTGTGTGCTTCATATTACATGATCTCTGATCTCTCACTCTATGCATGTGTCTCTGTTTCTTACTAGCTATGCGTGTGATGTTTGAGATTTGTCATATGAAGTAAAAATGTGTGTTGTGTGTTTCACATAAGTCAACGAACGAGCACTCACACATGTCTGTCAATCTACCCATCAATTGAAAAGAAAAAACTTGTTCTGCTTTATATCTATTTTGTAATCAAGTTTGTAATTTAACAATTTGCTTAGGAAACAATCCATCATTTTACACCCTGATTTAAAGAGCCCTTTGGGATCACCAAGACATGCATTATTCTTTCGATCTCATCTCCTTATTGTATTCTTTTCACTATAACTCAAATCTGCAAAGATATGCTTTATTTGCTTCCTCTGTTCATCACTTTACTTTGAGAATCTGTGGCTCTCTCTTAGCTTACTTCCGCTGTAAGCAAGCTTGATAAGCTCTGGCAAAACTGTCATGTTACAAAAGCCAATCTCATATCATCAGATGAGTCTTTTCAAATATATTTCTTAGATGGGTTTAGTAACTATTTTTTTCAGCTTACCTCCATGTAGAGTCTTAACTCGCCTGCAGATTTTGATATTTCTATAACACAATGGCTTGGAGTCACTTCGATCACCTCTGCTGATAATAAGTCATAAGAAGATCTTGATCTTATCTCTTTTGGCTGAATCTTAACCTGGTAATTAAACAACAACAACAAAAGACAGATGCATTTGTAAGATCTTTAACTAGTCTTAAGGAATGATCTGTAGAAGAATCTGCAACAACTAAATTACAGTTCTTTACCTTATAGTGCTTTATTCTTTCAACTGATAAACTGACATCAGTTGCCGCAGCTTCTATCTTCTTGATTGTTTCTTGTGCTGTGTTCTTGGACCCAATTCTTGTTTTATATCTCTTATCATCCTGAAGACATAACAATCAAGAATCTCTTCAATCTTTAACTCTCTTTGTTTGTTAGGTGAGTTTGAAGATTTAAGTAAAAATAGTTTCAAGTCTCTTACATTTTCTTCAAAGAGACCTGACAAATCTAGATCACTAGACATTGCTATTATCTGAAAAGCATTTATGAAATTTGAAGATGCGGTCGCTGCATTTATCTCCGCTACATTATCCTGCACGATCCATTTCAAATAAGTTACAACTTTGACTCAAAAGCTATTAACGTTTTCAGACATCTAGTGGAATCAAACTTGCCTTGATTGAGTCTGAGACTTGATAATAAGCTGGTGTATAACCAATCTTGAACCAAGAATCGTGAATGATTATCTCAGCTAATGTTATACGCTGCATCCAAATGTTTTTACTCAGTTTTGGATTCAAAGATTGACAATGAAGAATGTCTATGTAATATGCAGATTCTTTCTTATTACATACGCTTAGAGGATTTGGGTCAAGAATGTTAAAGATTAGTCTCTTCTGCTCTCCAGTGAACTCAGGTGGGAACGTGTAGTCTGCTCTGAGTATCTTCTTATACAAAATCGGAAGCGTATGATCATCGAACGGTGGATAACCAGCAAGCAATTCAAATAGAATCACTCCACAAGACCATACATCCACTGCTGCTCCTGAGTAGCCTTTGTTCATTATCAGCTGTTTAATTCATTAACAAAATCAGCTTCTGCAGAGATTTTGAAACATTATGAGAAGTAATTATTGGTAATGTTACCTCTGGTGCTATATAACATGGAGAGCCACAAGCTGTAGAGAGCATATCCCCTGACTGTGAATAAGTACACAAACCATAATTCTTGATTAGAATTTGATTGTTTCAAACCCAAATCATTGGATTAGTAAACAGAAACTTATTATAGATATATGATTAGAATTAGAAAGTGTTACTTTAGGAACTGCACTTAATCCAAAGTCAGAAACTTTGAGATTACCCTTTGAATCTAATAACAAGTTTTGTGGCTGCAAAAAGCAAAAACCAAATCAAATTAGCCACAAAATCAATTAGAAAAACGAGGAAAAACAGAGAGAAAGAGAGAGTTTGTTCTCTGACCTTAAGATCTCTGTGATAAACTCCTCTGTTATGACAATAATCAACAGCGTCAATCAACTGTTGGAAAAGCTTCCTGGCATCTGATTCTTTCATCTTTCGTCTATCAAGTCTGTCTGAAAGCTGACCACCTGCAACGTATTCCATAACAATACAGATCTTTGTCTTGGTCCCAATCACCTGTGAAGTTTCAAAATTTTACTCAGAATCTATATAACAAGTATAAGAAAAGGAGAAAAAGTTGAATCATTTGAGGTTTGAGGAGACAGAGAGAGACACAAAACCTCGTGTATCTGTACGATGTTGGGATGGTTAAGAAGCTTCATCGTGCGAATCTCCCTCTTGACTTGAGACTCGAGACCCTTTTGAATAACGAGAGCCTTGTCGATGATCTTGACAGCAACGTAAGTACCATTGGTCGTGTCGTAACCAAGTTTCACTTTCGCAAAATTCCCTTCCCCGATTGTTCTACCAATTTCATACTTACCGATCTTCTTAGTCCCAAACAAACCCATCTCTCAGACACAACACAACTGAGAGAGAGAGAGAGAAGAAAGAAGGAAGATGGTTTACGAAAGTTTGAAGGGACGAGTTAAATGTAATGATAGGGGAACTCAACTAAAATAAGAGTATTGATTCTCTTGTCTTGTGTGGGATCAAGAAATTGACTTTTAGATGATACTGACTGGTTTGAAGTAATCAAAAGAAGATATTATTAGTAAAGAAAGATTGGTGTGTTGTTATTTGACAGATTGGCTCGTGTGTGTGAGTGACTCGTAGCTCGTGAGTCTCGTGGCGTTAGAATGTGTCCTACGTAATCTTCTCAACAACTGATTTTATATATAAACAACGATTTTTGTGTGGAAACATTTCTCAAGTTGGTAGCTTACGTGGATTGGGGTTGGCTGCTGTTGCCTGTTGGCATTATTGTTTTCTTCTTTTTCCACCTTTAAATTTAGAAAACGAAAGAAATAAAAAAAATTTAGGATAATTGTTACTCAATTAATTGGCTGGAAGATATCTATTGTTTTTTTTTTGACAATTATCCTTTTATTTTATTTTCTCCTATTAATAATGTTGAGATATTATCTTTTTCTTTTAGTGTTTTACATTTTTTTTTTATTTTCTGTCACCAAAAGTGTTTTAATCCGTAACGTTTAAAGCAAAACCATTATTTCGAAATCAAACATATCAGGTTTTTCGTTAGGAAAGCCTTTGTCGGTTTTTTACATTTTTTTCCATTTTTTGTGAAGATATTTGTTCACAAGTGCCAAGTGGGATATTTCACTTTGGCTTTTTGCATTTCAAAAAAGATCATTGAAAGTCGAAAAAGTACAACTCTCCAAGATATTTTGTTTTTCTAATGTTCTCTCTCAGCTTGGAGATATTTATTTTTCTTTTTATCTAAATATTTTAACATATTTATGAAAATAAAATATTACTCATTGGGTTTCATAGAAAGTTAAAAAATCACACAGATTTCAAAGGCCCAATATACCGGCCTCGTAATGCCCACTATGTAATCTACCAAAAGAGAGGTCAACATTGCCTCCTCAACAAGGAAAATAAAAAACCTTAAAATGGAAAAATAAATATGGATACTATTAAAATTTGGGAAAACAGGATATCAATTTTTGGGGATTTTGTATATATTGATTGGAATTTTTTCTAAGAGGAGAAACCAAAATCGTTCATCTATGGGGAGTGTGAATTCTGTGGCGGAAGCTAAAACAGAGGAGGACCCTTCGACATATCAGAGAGATGGGGAGCAAACTAAAGCCCTAATCGAAGAAGACCAAGGAGCTAGGGAGGGATCAAAAGACCTAAGTGAAGATCAGATTCAGAAGGATGTGGAAGGATCAAAAACCCTAATTGAAGATTTGAATGTGACAGAGGAAGGAGAAGATGAAGAGTGTGGATTGTGCAAGTACATAAAGGGAGGTGAGTGCAAGGATGCATTCATTGAATTGGAGAGATGTTGGGATGAAGCAAAGAAGAATGATGAAGACGAGACTAGTAAATGTAAGGAGGCCAGGCTCATGTTCAAGGCATGTAAGAATGATAACCCTGTATACTATGAGCCCATTCTTGCTCTTGAGGCTAGAGTGATGGCTAAGATGTTGAGCGAGTTGTTGTACGAGGAAAAGAAGGCTATTATGGCTGGTGAAGCTGCAGTCATTGAGAGGACGTTAAGCGGGTTGAAAGAAGACGATGCTGAGCCTATTACAATTCTCCCTGCTGAGGCTGCAGCCATTGGGAAGGCTTTTAGCGACTTGGAAGCTCGAAAGAAGAAGGAGAAGGAAGCAGAAAGATCCAAGGGAAACGAGAGTGATCATCAGAATTAGAATTAGGTAAGCTTTTATGAGCAAATTGAGACTCAAATTAATCATTGTCTAAATGAATATACTGATTTTTATTTGTCTAAACCCTTCATTTTATTTTTGTAAGGTTGACTTCTTAGTTCTTACTACAACAGGGTTGGTTATGCAGTTTGATGCATCTGTTGAATTCTGTTATGATCACTTTCTTATGCGAAAAAGTAGTTAATCTGGTAGAGTTCTCGTAGTAGTCCACGGATGATCTGACAATAGCATTGTTTGTTTGTGCATATCTTGCCCGGAAAGTTGAAATCCATAACATCAACACATAACATTAGATAAGTTTGGATTTAAAGTTGTACACCATTCTTGAATCTTGATGACGAGAGTAAACAACCTGCGTTGACATTATTAATGATGGTCTTGTGTAAAATGTGAATCAGCTATAATTAAGCAAAGACGATTCAAGAAACTAAACCCTCCTATATCTTCTCTAACTATTTGATTGTATGAATCAAATAAATAGGATACTTTACACACTTTCTGAAAAGCAACTAAAAAGATGGCAAAGAAAAATACAGAGACTCGCAGAGCACTATTTTTTTTTTTTTGTCGTCAGCAGAGCACTATATGAGGGAACATATGAAAAAAAAAAAAAAAACAAAGAGCAACTTCTGAGGGAAAAAGGCTTACGAGCCCAGACGGCCCAATATAAGAAGCCTTTTGTTAATTTCCAACCCACTAATGCAATTAAACGTAAATATATATTTATTTTCTTAGTCAGATTTCAATATTCATTTAATGTGCTCGGTTGCTTCACGGACACAGTGAGACGTATTATATAGATACTCATTTCACGGGTGAGATCATTCTTTGGATCCTTTTTCCCAATGAATAAAAAAAAAAGACTTGTACAGTAGATAACAATATTGGAAAAAGAAAAGTTGTTTGTGGGAACTGATAAAAGAAAAACTCAGCAAAACGTGATTTAATTTGGACACAAAATAGTATTACAAGAGTAACACTTTTTTTTTTTTTTTTTTTGGACAAATACAAGAGTAACACTTATCTATAATATTTTCCCCTAAATATAGAATAGGATCAATGCTGAGTCAGAAACGTGATATACGCTATAACGTTGTTTCCGGATAAAGACTGAACGTACGATTTTATTTAGCTTTTAACTCCCCGATGATATCACAACCGTCGATTTCATTTTATGGTAAGGGGCAAAATTGTAAAACAGCAGAAAAAAACAAACGAGTGCTTACGTCATGTCATTATCTGACTGATTCTTAATCATCATCATCATCACTTACTAAATCTTAAAAATTAATCCGTTTATCCAAATTCTAAAAGCTGAGTTTTTAGTATTTAGCTTCTCACTTGCGATCGCGATAAGAAGTGGGTTTTATCATCGTTTCAAGGTTTGGTGAAAAAATATGAAGAAAGTTGAGTTTTTTATGCTCCTTCTCTGCTTAATCGCTGCCTCGTTTCTAGTGGTAAGACTTGATAATCACAAGCTTGATCCTTTTTTCTTTGTTTTTCTCTTTATGATCATTTTGAAATGTAATCTGAGACTAAAGTTTTGATCTTGATTGGTTTGTGTGTGTGAAGTGTGCTGATCCACCAACATGTCCTGCGGATTTGGATGGCAAGTGTAGTGATTCTGATGATTGGAAAGGAGACTTCTTCCCTGAAATCCCCAATATTAAGTATGAGGTAACACAATAATACTCCATAAGCTGTAAAATGTTTATGTTCTATTGATTCGATTTGGAAATTTTAGTGGTATGTGTTTGCATGTGTAGATGAATTTGATTGCTTTATGATTTTTTTTCAGGGACCTTCGAGTAAGAATCCACTTGCTTACAGGTGGTATAACGCTGAAGAAGAGATTCTTGGGAAGAAAATGAAGGTACTTTTGTTTTTTTTTTTCTTACAACAGTTTGATTTTGCTTGTGTTTTTATGGATTTGAGGAAATGGGAGAGATGTTTTTTTTATTGATGTTTGTTTGTATGTTCTCTTGAACTGTTGAGCAGGATTGGTTTAGATTCAGTGTTGCGTTTTGGCATACGTTCCGTGGGACTGGAGGTGATCCATTTGGTGCGGCGACAAAGTACTGGCCTTGGGAAGATGGTACTAACTCTGTGTCTATGGCTAAGAGAAGAAGTAAGTCAAGATTGGTTTTAATGTTGTTACTCGTTTCTCTTCAATTGGGAGTTACTACTGTGAGTGACTTTGTGGTTTTTGTTTAATGCAGTGAGAGCTAACTTTGAGTTCTTGAAGAAACTTGGAGTTGATTGGTGGTGTTTCCATGACAGAGACATAGCACCTGATGGCAATACACTTGAGGTAATTCCAGCTTCTGGTTCACTTAGTACTATATATGCATTACATTGTGCAAATGAAACTACAGTGGACTTTATTGCTTTGTGTGAAAGACTGTATATAATTTCTTGGACCTTGTAATTCTTTTGCAGCTTGCTTTTTCTTTTGGTACTTGATTACTTTCTGTTGCTCTTGTTGACCTATTAACTTGTTTCAGTCATTTAGAAAGCGCCTATAACCTATTTATACTTTTTGTATCTGCAGGAATCTAACAAAAACCTGGATGAAGTTATCGAACTCGCAAAAGAACTCCAAAAGGTGAATTCAGTTGGCTAGTATTCCATTTCTTGTAACGGATTGGATTTAGGAAGATAGCTTTTGTAGTTAATATAACCTCTGTCCCAGGCTCATGTATGTCATTACACAATTGGAATTCTTAATTCATATGAAATTCTATCTTGTTGCTTCAATATCTTAGTTTTCTCTTCAAATGCAGGGAAGCAAGATCCGTCCATTGTGGGGTACAGCTCAGCTTTTCTTGCATCCTCGTTACATGCACGGAGGAGCAACCAGCTCTGAGGTTGGAGTATATGCTTACGCTGCTGCTCAAGTGAAGAAGGCAATGGAGGTGACACATTACTTGGGCGGTGAAAACTACGTTTTCTGGGGTGGCCGTGAAGGTTATCAGACACTCTTGAACACTGACATGGGAAGAGAGCTTGATCATCTAGCCAGGTTCTTTGAAGCTGCTGTTGCTTACAAGAAGAAGATTGGATTCAAAGGTAAGTCTTCTTCTTCTTCTTCTTCTGTCATCAGTCGTATGTGAGTTATTGCAATATACATTAATTTAATTTTCATCAGGTACGCTTTTAATCGAGCCCAAGCCTCAAGAACCCACCAAGCACCAGTATGACTGGGATGCTGCAACAGCTGCCAATTTCCTAAGGAAATACGGTCTTATTGATGAGTTCAAACTCAACATTGAGTGTAACCATGCCACGCTTTCTGGTCACACCTGTCATCATGAGCTTGAAACTGCAAGACTCAATGGTTTACTTGGGAACATTGATGCAAACACTGGCGATGCTCAAACTGGTAACTTTTTAATTTAAGCTCTCTTGATAAGTATCATCTCTTACCTGCATTCTGATGATTGAAAAATGTTTCACCTTGTCTCAACAGGATGGGATACAGATCAGTTTCTTACAGATGTTGGAGAAGCAACCATGGTTATGATGAGTGTAATCAGAAATGTATGTAATACAAAACGCGCTATTTTTGGGAATCCCATTGTAATTTTTTGAATGGAAGCTCATAATAGACTAATTTGTTCATGTGATTTCTCATAATAAAATAGGGTGGCATTGCGCCAGGAGGCTTCAACTTCGACGCCAAACTGTAAGAGCGGTTCTTGATTCCTAAAGTTTTGCTTTTTCATAACATATTTAAACCCGAGAACAGAGTTTTAAATGTTTGATTGATTAAACAGGCGAAGAGAGAGTACAGATGTTGAAGATTTGTTCATTGCTCATATTAGTGGAATGGATACAATGGGTCGTGGATTGAGAAATGCAGCCAAAATCTTGGAGGTTAGTAAGAGATAAGTTTCTTAAAGAATCAAAGAGTGTAGCATCATAGATTAACTTGGTTGGTGTGTTTGGTAAAGGAGGGAAGTCTAAACGAATTGGTACGCAAGAGATATGCAAGTTGGGACTCTGAGATTGGGAAGCAAATAGAAGAAGGAAAAGCTGATTTCGAGTATCTTGAGAAGAAGGCTAAAGAGATTGGAGAACCAAAGGTTCCTTCTGCTAAACAGGTACAAGTTTCTTACAACAACAACACATAATTACTGGCTTTGTTTCGTTAAAACACACACACACACAAACTTATAATGATATCTTCTGAAACACAAAAACTGCAGGAGCTCGCTGAGATGATCTTCCAATCAGCTATGTAGGAAGCAGAAGAAGAAGACTAAGAGAGCTTTCTATGTTTATTAAAAAAAAGATCGTCTTCTTAGTTCTCTCCTCATCTTTGAGAAGTGTCAGTTATTATTTCAGTTGATGTAATCTATGTTTTCACGCTCTTTATTACAAATTGAATAAGAAAAACCTATAAGAAAAACCTTTGTTTAGGCCTTACTTGATTACGTGACAAAAAACAAAGCCTGAGTAGTTCCATTTTGCTTTTTATATAAATATTTGGGAATGAATATACTACTTGAATACACAAAAACTCTTTGATAAGTTTAAGGTAACAAAGGTTGGAAAATAGTAAGGAAACGTTGAGTATCATCTTACTTGATTCTGTAATTGCTATGACATAGTTACGATGATAGACGACTTTGTTAATTTCTTATATGCGACGACCGTGATGTCCAATAACAAACACATTATACAAAAATCGAGTCTTTTTGTCGTCACATGTATGATGCTGAACCTATCCGTCGATGTTTCTAGAAATTTTCCTTCTTTGTTATTGACGAATTATGAATATAAATATGAAAAAATTAAGGTCGGCAAAAAGTAGTAAGTCTTTTTCTTTTGTCTAAATGCGGACGAAAGTGGAAAGTCTCGTGAAATCTCACATTATTATGATAAATTATTGTATAGATAACATTTATATATTCAGATATTAGCTTTTTCTATGTTGTCATTTATGTAACTGTTTTTAGATTAATACGTTAGCTTAATCGTATAACAGTTGAATGGTGTTAAAAGTAGAAATGAAATACATATGAACTCTGTTTCAAAAAAAAAAAATAATACATATGAACTGGATTAACGATAAATAACATAGTTTTAAAATATTTAAACCCTAATTATCAAAAATTAATAATTTCTCAAAAAACGTGAATACAAATACAACTGATAAAATTGTTTTCTTTTTGTTGGTTTAAAAGATATGAACTGATAAATGTTTTGAATGACAAAAACTAATAAAATCTCGTTATAAAACGTAAAATAAATATATATGTGGTTTGTATATCATTTCATCTCATGTAGACATGTAGTATAAATACAATCATAGTAGTGGAATTTGCATAGCGATCTCCATTTTCTAGAAAACAATACGTATTTTATATAAAACTACATTCTATAATTTAACTGAAAAATATTATGATAATTCAATTATGGTTGTTAGAATTCGTATATATATATATATATACGACATGTTATGGAAATATATATATATATATATATATTTTTTTTGGACAAAAGAAATATAGATTGTTAAGAAACGAAATGAATGTTATTTATAGGTTTCACCTAAATAACAATGAAGATGATATTTACGTTCTGTCATTTTCAGCAGCGTTCACATACTCTCACCTAACACATCATCTAATACAACTTGATGAATCTTTTTTTTTTTTTTTTTTTGTCATGTGACTAAAATATTTATATACGTTTTGACGGCAAAAGCAAAGCTCTCGGCTAATTTTCCTTTTACTCTCATTATATATTAATTTACTTTGTGTTGTTATAATGACTCAAAACAACATTAATTAATACAAACCCTTGAACTACAAAAGTACAAAATGAATCGTCCAGAATGATTTTTGAGCACTGAGTATACGTCAAAACCATACTATAGTTAACCTAAAATCAACCATTCTATAGACTAAAGAAATGTGAGTTTACTACTTTAAAAACTCACATTTCATTTGGTCCATGATCTATCTATTTATATATTGTCAATATTTTATCGTTGACGGCAATACGATGATGGAGCCATGGAGGTCGACAGAATATAATAAGAGTTAAAAGAAAAAAGAATAGTTGAAAATGAATACATTACTGGACCAATTTATCATTTTTATGACTAATACTAATAGACTAATACCACGACCTACCACGTATCGCACGTGTTACTCAAAATCAGCAGATGCTTACACGTATCGGATTATTTGCTAGACTGTCACAAGATCAGATCATTCACTTTCCTTTAAGCGAAAGTATTGCCTTTTTAAAAAGATTGAATTTTACAAAATTATTGCTTCGCTTCGCTCAATCTCATTATAGCAAGTTTAGCAATTGAATCGTGATGTGAATGATTAGGTCAATGTTCAATGTACAGTGTCTGGCTGTCGTGACTAAACAATAGAAGTGAAAATTAACTAGTTTTGTTACCGTTAATTTAAAATATAATTAGATGATGATCATTGATCCATGTTGTTATACACCGATGCATGGATGCTTTTGAAAATTTTGTATTATTTGCCTTATTTGTTTATGGATAATTTATAAGTACTTATATTTTTGGAGATGAAATTTTAAAACACATCATTATTTTGTTTTAATGTATTATTTTATTTTTTACTCTAAAATATAAATATTATAAAAATAGAGTAAAGAATAAAATTATTCTAAATATAAAAATAACTTTATAATTTACTCTATTTTAGAATAAAAAATATATATATATATATATAGTAGAATTGGAACAAATGTTATTATTATTATTATTATTTGGTTAAATGGAACAAATGTTATTTTAAAATAAATTTTTTACTCTAAAATACAGTGGAATTAAAGATACTCTTAACTTTGAACGTTGTTGTTTTCAGCTATAGTTAATCATAGAATAATCAATCCACGATTTTATAGAACTCGCTTTTACTTTTCTTTATAATAATTGAGCTTGTGGACCGATCAAGGATAAAATTTATTTCGGCCGGACCACGCTGCGTACAGTCAAAAGTTAGAAACTAGTAACAAATCATTCATAGCAAAATGGGCTTAAAATAAAGAAAGATTGAAAAGGACCTCTCTATATATATATACGTTGTTCGATCGTCAATCCATTTTGGCAGTTCACATTCTCATATCACGTGGCATGCCCATCCTACTGTCTTGTACCTTGAAACTTATAAACTGTCTAAGACTTGCATACTAATTAATCATCCTAGAGAAACAGCGTATGCAGCACCATTATTCGAATATATGAATTCATCAATTGATGTATTAAAAAAATAACAAGTTTAGATCGATCCAAAGAAACACTTTTGCTGTGTTAAACTTATGTTTATCACTTAAAGCATACATATTTTGTTCATTATGTAAATCTCCGTTACGGCGTTACATACAATATTGAATATGTTTGGGCAAGAACTATTTATTAGTATAACATTGCAGCCTACACTACTTTAAACATCAGAAGATTACGGAATTTTATAGTCGTAAAACATCAACTCGACGGTTTATTGAAACAGACAATATGTAGAAGTGAACGTGAAAAGCACGTAAGAGAACGTTGATCAATGAGTATAGTTATATATATTATATATGTTCGACGCAAAGCATGACGTTTTCTGCATGAGCTGCCACGCAAGGTGACGTTGTTTTGAATCAATGGTTCTGATGCCAATACGCGGTTCGGTTTTCTAAATCACGTACTACTGCGTAATTATATAGTCATGTAATAACTAACACTCGATTAGGGCTAGTAGTCATCTAACTTTAAAATTTTTATGGTCCGATTAATAATTAAATAATGGAAAGTGGATAAAATAATACAGTCAATTTATTCCACTAGTAAGATTGGTCTATAAAAATCTTGAGATGGGGTCAAACAGAGTAATGTACAGTGCATGTAGTGCCCAAAACAGCAAACCTTTTTTCTGCGTGGATCTCATGTCGGAACGGAAGATATGTTATAAATATAAATATCATTGGCTGAATATAGATAAAATTCTCACATATACATTATGTTTATTTGTTGTAGATACAATGTTAAGCAAAAAAAAAAAAAATGTTACGTTTAAGCGTACGTAGTATACTATCTCTCTCGTCCGGGAGCTCCAGATCGAGGAGCCTTGTTAATTCGGAGATAGATAAGGATCTTGATCGTATGATCACTTACCCCTTTTTTGACTCTCTCAAAGTATCAACTGTTGCGTTTACTTTCATCTCCCTTTTGTAATCAGACCTTAGAGATCCTATAAATTTTGGAATATGTTTACCAGTTAAATTTTAAACAAACAAGAGAGAGCTACAAATCAAACATTATATAAAAGGAAATTATTGTAAAAGGACATTATTATTTTTAAACCAAACAAAAAAAAAAAGAAAATTATTTATTTAGATTTTCAGTATCTATTCTTTTCGGGAGATAAGAAAAATATACATTAGAAATTTAGATGTGTCTTGAGACTTGAATCTCGAACACGTTTGGTTGAACGTAACTAAAACACACTAAGAAAATAATGTGACTTGCTTAATTAATATATTACCGAATGGTCTATCGTTACTAAAACCGTAAAATGAAATCTTAAGCGTGGGATTTCTCGAAGTCAAAGTTTCTGAAAATAGAAAGAAAAATCAAATTTGCTTACATGCCGAACTATATAGATAAAGATTGCTTAATCATGCCGACCATCCCCTGTCCTTTTTTTCTCCAATATTATTTTAAAACTCTGTGAATATCCTTCACGTCAAAGGGCCCCAATTCAGAGAATACGATAAAACTAATAAGTCTACAACTACGGAATTATATAATTCTAAGAAGATAAGTGTTCATTCATATTGGCTGGGAAAACAGCAAAAAAAAGTATTACATATTATTACTGACAAAAAAATATAGAGATCATATATGAATATATTTATCATTCGGGAAAAATATATACCAAAAAAATGTAATGGTCATTAGTAACTATTAGTACTTATATGAGTACAACATTGAGCTCATCAAAATTAAGGTGAAGATAACCAATGCTACAAGTCTGTAAATTACGTATAAAATATTTGTTTATTTCTGATAAATTACTTAAATTGTTAATTGTCAAAATCATTAACATATGTGTAACATGTAACTTTGTATAAACCTGGTTAAGTTTATTTATTTTTCTTAAGTTTTAATAACTTGAATAATTAATACTATCTTTTGTATAAAATGTATCTAGAATTGATTGACGTACTGTTTGCTTGTTGAAACGATAATCACCGATCAACTTAAGGTTTGAGGTAAAATCTTAGCTTATTTTATTTCATAGTATTCGTATCCTCCAATTTATATGCACAAAAATTATAAAAAAGATAAGAACTATAAGCAAAGCCTAATATTTATTAGTTTGGTGAGAGAAGGTTTTGAGTCATCGTTACAAATTTCGAAATCTTGTTTTGAAACAAGCTAGTATCGGTCCAAATACGAAATTCTGTGTCGAACACATATAGGTTATTATTTTTTCTATATTAACATAAAGATAATAATCCGTATAAGAAAACAGATAAATTTCATACAAATTTTTGGGGTTAACTCAATGAAAAATGTTTTTAAAATAAAGATTCCCCGACATAAAAATACATAAATTACGATTCTCAGCCTAATTAATTATACATATTATTAGCTGGTTTCTTGTCAGCCTAATTTTATTTCATACGAAACATATATCTCCATCACCAAGGAAGAAATAATAATAATAATATAACAAATTATCAATATTAATTAAAATAAATAAACCCATACCGTAACTCGATTTTATTATGTGGATGTAATGTCTCCACGTGGCAGATAATAATTCGATAAACATAGTGAGCCTTCTCTGTCCGACTGGGCATGACAGATCATCTTAAGCAAATCAAATACCCAACTCTCACACATTCTCACACTTTAGTTTTCCCCAAATAAACCAAACTTCAAAGAGAGAGAGAGAGACAGAGAGAAAGTTTTGTGAATTCAACCAAAGAGTTAGTTAATGGGATTCGGCTTAGAGAGCATCAAGTCAATCTCCGGCGGGTGGGGCGCGGCGGCGCGTTCCTGTGACGCTTGTAAGTCAGTTACCGCCGCCGTGTTCTGCCGTGTTGACTCTGCTTTCTTATGCATAACATGCGACACAAGGATCCACTCCTTCACCCGCCACGAGCGCGTGTGGGTTTGTGAAGTCTGTGAACAAGCTCCCGCCGCCGTCACTTGCAAAGCCGACGCCGCCGCTCTCTGCGTCACCTGTGATTCCGATATCCACTCAGCTAACCCGCTCGCTAGCCGTCACGAGCGTGTCCCTGTCGAGTCTTTCTTCGACTCAGCCGAAACCGCCGTCGCTAAAATCTCTGCTTCCTCCACTTTTGGTATCCTCGGCTCATCAGCCACCGTGGACTTAACCGCTGTTCCGGTCATGGCTGATGATCTCGGTTTATGTCCGTGGCTGCTTCCTAACGACTTCAACGAACCGGCTAAGATCGAAATCGGAACTGAGAACATGAAAAGTTCCGACTTTATGTTTTCCGATTTCGACCGTCTCATTGATTTCGAGTTCCCGAACTCGTTGAGTCATCATCATCAACCGTCCGGGGGAGATAGTCTTGTTCCTGTTCAGACCAAAACAGAGCCGCTTCCGTTAACTAACAATGATCATTGCTTCGATATAGATTTCTGCAGATCAAAGCTCTCTGCTTTCACTTACTCAACTCAATCATTGAGCCATAGTGTAATCTCACCATCCTTCAAAAATCCAAACTTTAAATCTTTAAATTTGTTTAAACTCGATAAAAGTTTTGACTTTTAAGTTCTGTTTATTTCTCAGGTTTCGACTTCGTCACTCGAATACGGTGTAGTCCCTGACGGAAACACCAACAACTGTGTTCCTGAGATCCCGATTCCGTTTAACCGGAGCGGGATCACTAGCTCGACGGCGGCGACTACTGGTGGTGATCAAACGAACTCTATGGATAGGGAAGCTAGGGTTTTGAGGTACAGAGAGAAGAGAAAGAACAGGAAATTCGAGAAGACGATTCGTTACGCTTCGAGGAAAGCTTATGCAGAGTCACGGCCAAGGATCAAAGGCCGATTCGCGAAAAGAACTGAGACGGAAAACGACGACGTTTTCCTAAGTCATGTTTATGCTTCAGCCGCCCAGTACGGTGTCGTACCAACGTTCTGATCCAAGTCTACGGTGGAATCAAACGAATCAACCTGAAAAACTCCCATCTTCCACCGTTTGATCACCCTGGGTGTATAATAAGTATAGTGAGTCTTACCGTAGACAAGCAATCTTATCTCCTCTTTACCCGTTTACCTTTTTTACGCGCTATCTCACTGCCACTTTAAGGCTGTAACTTTTTTTTTTCTTTCTATATATATAATGTATGCTTATTTTTTCTTCAAAAAATCATATAATTTGGTAATTATAATTTCTAATGGCTGATGTTGTCTTGTCGCTAATTTTGTTGAAAGAGATTAGGTTGAGTTTGGCTTGTTAATCGTTTACGTGGCATACAAATTATAAAGAAACAAATAAAATATGAAATTTAAAAATCGAGTATTATGGGAGATTATATATTAGGTCACACTACAACTTGTACAAGTGTTTTTGATTATCTAATAGATGTATTTTTGTGTCCCATGCACGAGAAGCAACTTGTAGTATTACTGAAAAAGTTTTTAGATTCGTGAAGACAGTTTATGATCGATCCAAAATATCTGGAACTTTCGGACAGTAAGTAAAAACACAGTTGCTTTTTACGAAAATCGATCGCAGCAAAAGAAGCAATAAATGGTTTTTGTCCGAGACTTCATAAAACTTTGCCTTTTGGGTTTCTGTAGAGCCAATCTTTTTTATCTTCGATCTCTCTCACCTTTCTACAAAGAAGAACGTGATTATTTAGTGTCAGATAAAGTCAAAGTCAGTTTGAACTGTGATATCTTGTCGTTTTTGATCGGTGGTTTTTTCATGGTATCATTATCTCGTATTATCCCATCATTATGAAATATTGATTCTAATAATTATGCCTATTGCCCATTTAGACAATCTCGGACCTAAGTTTAAGCTTCATTAATGTATGGAGGCTAAAGATAGATAGTATTTTCTTTTCATCAAAGATGCTTACATAATTACATTGATCTACCAATAATTATAAATCCAATATCATAGTACGAAAATTTGAACCTTATATTATCACTTTATATTTTAAGAGTACATATTGCTATCAACCACTAACTAGTATATACATACACCTTGGTTGTTAGGTAATTGACACGGATAAAATACGTACATCAGTACAAGTTTGTGGTTAATTCTTTTGTTGAAGTCATCTACTTGTAAGTTTACCTTAGGTTACATTGTTGTTTCTTTTGCAACCTGTTAACTAGTCTAAGACATGTATGCGTATTATATGATCAAGTATGTTAACAAAAATATCAGTTTGCAACGTATATACATAATTCTTCTAAACTCATGCACTCTCTTTGAATTCCATACGAGCTCTTTAATATTGTAAGGACCTAGCTACTTTCTTATGAAATGTATATAAAGTATTTATAAATGAAACCCATGATCAATACCTTGGGATTGCGATGTAGTTGAGTGAGACTTCTGCCGTCCAAGTGGGTTTAGAGACCTTGATGCATGCAAGGGGCAGTTTAGGCACGATATTTTGTTTGGAGGCAAACAGAGCAAGCTTGAGATTTGCAAATAGTGGCTACGAGTGCTTTGGGGCCACATAATATACAATCATAATAACGTTAATAATAGCGCATTAAAGCAAAGTTTTGACAATACATAGAACTAAAGTTTGATTTACTAAACAAAGGAAAAAAAAAACAAAGAATTAAAAGTTTGATGTTGAGTGTCACGAATAAATTGGTTTAGTGTGGTGGATTTCCCCCAATTAACATCGGATTAAGCTCGTTTGGTAAATTCCACCAAACTCATTGTCTATTATGAATTAATCATATGATTAATAGTCTCTTTTTATTTCCTAATTATATTTTATGAACGTATTTCCAAGTTTGCATGATAACGCGTATAACCCGTGTGTGAATGTAAATATTCCATTGGACTTATATACTGAAATCGAGACAAGTGAGAAAGAACACCGCATGCATGACTATTACACAAGGGGTGACATGACATTTACAGACATGACATTTACATAACAAAACACGTAGTATATTTCATAATCTTTTTAAGAACATAACAAAACCTTGGATATGAACTTGTAATGGTGTGACCAATTTTATTTTTGGTAATGGTGATTAGTGACACAAAACTCGACTATATGGCAAAATATGCTTATAGTACTACTTTATAGTCATGACTCGTGAGGTTTTGGAAACCTTTTTTTTGTTTGTCAAACCAAGCAATCTTAAAACCGTGTACACACTCCCACAAAAAGAGGTAACAAAGATGCACAGTGTCACATTAAAAGGGGAAAAGAACTTGTTAACAGTTGAACCAATAAATAGGGAAAGAAAGAAAGAAGAAGAGATTATTTATTGGCTCCATGAAAGAGGGACCTGCGTGGCCCAAAGTGGGTCCGACAGAGACTGGGTCGAACAGGAGACAAGTGGAGGGTCCGACCACACCCTAACCACGTGCATCGCCGGCCCAAATGGCTGTTCTCTTCTCGTGGTCCACTTCTGCACCCTTAATCCCTATCCTAACAGTTCCTGCCACCTTCCACTAGATTTATCATATAGTACTGCATAACAAAACAATAATACTAACATATTGAACATCATGGCTCAATTGTTTTTACATTGTCTAGCTGAATATTTGTTTTGATGCTGTTTACTTTAGTTTTTGCTAAGTGAAGTTGTTTAGCTTCAAGCCTTTCAACGCTAAAAGATTTGTATTAATCTCAGTTTTGATCTATGGATATTTCCTTTATTTGTTATGTGATTACGAAATTTCCCAAGACAAAACTGTCACCATTTAGATCCCATACTATTGCTTTCTTCACTTTTTATTGGATTATATGCTATTACAAATTCCACACTAAAAAAAAAAAGAAAAACTGTCACCATTTAGATCCATACTATTGCTTTCTTTTCTTATATTGAATTAAAGTTCTACTGCTTTTTTTTTTTTCTTTCTTTCTTTCTATGGATTAACGATTACGACAAATTCATGCATCTTATTCGATACACACACATATATAACATATGCGATACAACGATATATATTTTGTAACTTAATCTAGAAGAAAGATGTTGAGGTTCGTTTTGGCTAACTCTGTTGATTGAGTTTACCAAGTACTCTTAATTTGGAACCGTTACTCTACGAGAAATAGTATATGCTTTAGTTTTGTCTCGTATACAGATTATGTACTTTGTATCTTTAAACGGATAACAGAGTAAAACGGTCTTTAATTTGGTTAAACTATGATATAAAGTAACTTATTTCTATTAGTTGTGAGTTTGATACATAATGGATGAAACGTTAAAGATCTCATAAGATACAAAAGAATGAAATTAGATATAAACAAAAAAAATCAAAAGGAAGAGTCCAAAGGAACATCATCTCCGAAAATCATAGAATACTCATCCCATTCATCGTTATCATCATCGTCATTAGTCATATCCTTAGGCATACTCCAGCTCTTTGCAATGTCAGCCTCGTTCCCATTCGTTAGCAACTCCAATACCTTAATTAGTTACAAAAAGCAAAATTTCACAAAATCAAATACTCCACTTGAATTCGGTAATTAGACATCATGGTTCTAATTCTTAAGATTGTTATCGCATATGTAACCAAATAACCTGAGTCATGGTTGGTCGTAATATCGGCGATTGTTGAACACAATGCGAAGCTGTAAGGACAAGCCTGTTCATTTGCTGATCATCGTACTTATCTTGTAATTTTGGATCAACCAAGTCTCTTGTGTTACCTGACTCCATCGCTGGTTTCGCCTGTTCATTAACGATCAATGTTAGGAATGATATATATAGAATTTAAAGTAACGTATATAACAAATACGAGCGAACCTACTAGATGGCTTTCGTGTCTAAAAAGACATACAATTAGGTCTGACTATTCTAGAATTTATATACCCATAAGAGAATGTGTGTTTGAGAGGGATGAACCGGTCTTCGTCCGGTTATGATCTCTAGAAGGAGAATACCAAACGCGTAGATGTCGGTTTTCTCGTCTACGGTTCCTTGCATTAAGGACTCTGGTGCTAGATAACCGAACGTTCCTTCAACCGGTACAACCGCATGGTGAGTCCATTTGTTAGGCAACCATCTCGCCAATCCAAAATCAGTAATCTGCGGTTCGTAGTCAGGTCCAAGTAAGACATTGGACGATTTGATATCACGGTGAATGATCCGGTGGCTGCAGCGTTTGTGAAGATAATGAAGCCCTCGTGCTACTCCAACCGCGATTTTGTACCGTATAGGCCAATCTAGCGATCCGTGTTCCTTCTCTGTTTTGAATTATTGGCAGCATAAATTGCAAAATCAGTCCACAGTTGAAAGTACTAAAGAGTGTTTTGAGAAAGTAATCTGAAAGTTAGTTTACCGTGCAATGCAGAGTACAGGGTTCCATTCTCGGAGAACCTGAAGACAAGATAGAGACCTCTCTCAACACAACAGCCTAAGAGCAGAGCAGTGTTGGGATGAGATACATGACTGATGATGCCGAGTTCTGTAAGAAACTCTTTCTCCTTGTTCATGTCACCACTCTCCTTGGTTAATCTCTTCACTGCTATTCTTCTTCCGTCCCATAAATCTCCTCTGTACACTTCAGAGTACCCTCCTATGCCTACTATGTTCTCTGCAATTCAACCAAAAACTTGGATCAGATTTTTTTTTTTTATAAGAACCTTAAGTTTCAATCTTTTTGTCTCAAGTTGTTACATTTTATCCAAAGTTTTGGAATTTTGGTCTCTAATAATGTTTCAAGGTTTCACCTTGATGAAAATCATTTGTGGCTTTAGAGATCTCGTTGTAAGTGAAGCATTGCATTAAAGGTTGAGGTTTAGGGTTGGTCTTAGTCTCGCTTCCTCTCCATTTTCTCAGAGGAGAGTTCATGATAAGAGAAGATATGAATCTGTAGGGAGACATTGGCTTATGTTTTGGTTTCTCTGAAGGCGAAGTGAAAGTAGAAGAGACCATTGAACCGTTGAAACTTGAAGCATCATCGCCGGAAGAGCTAAGTGAATCTCTTGATAAAGCGTTTAGTACACTGCGTGGTGAATACTTCTCACTCTTTATGTCTAGAGAAAAAAAACATACAATATGTTACTCTTCGTTGAATCAGCTAACCAAATTTTTAATTTTAGGACCAACCTTAAATGGAATTTATTTTATCATATTAACATGATCAAACCTCGAGAAATCGCGGATTCGGAGGAACAATCTTTATGCGGTTTTCTTTGATTTCCGACTAAAACAACAGTGCAACTTGATGGAGCAAAGTCGGAGACATACCTTGTGATGTCATTCCATATCCTAAATGAAGAGAAATATTAATAACAAATCGAATTATATTCTGAACCGGATAATATTTTGTAATCTGAACCGGTGAATTTCCGGTTTATTACCTGAATTCGTGAGAGGTTGGTCGGGAAAGAACAAGATAGTGCGCAGAAATAGACTTGACTTCATCTATGAGTCCTCTTCCGATGTTTGAGCTAAACCCTACCTTGGCTTCCAAGTTCACCTATTAAGTTGGGAAACTAAATTAGAATATAACAATTTGGTTGTGAGACCAATGATTGAATGGATTCATTACGTTTTATCTCAGTTGAAGCTCTACAATTTCCGGCTAAGTTCGGTTTCAAAATAGTTATGCGTCAGTTTTTTCCAAGTAAGAAAGTAGTAATACCTGGTTGTGGCAGCAAGTGTAAGCAAACTCTCCAAGCATGGAGATAACATGAGCTTTAGCACGCCGAATCTGAGTTCTCTTCTTCTTCTTCATCGGAAACTTTCTCGGCTCTTCACCAGCTGCATTCAACAAAAAATGTATATAGTTTCCCAATTAGTCAAATGATCAAATGCCGAAGAGAAAAAAAAAACAGAGAGATTTAGGTATATAAGTTTTAACCAAGAAGATGAAGAGCAACAATGGTGTCACTCGGTTTAGCAAGAACATTGATGGCCCAAGATAGAACATTTTGGCTTTCGTCTCGGTCCAACGAGATCGCCACGAGGATCTTGTTACTACTGCCTTCTTCTGAAAGAGATATCATATGTATTTCGGTTTTGTTTTCACTCTAATAAACAAGGTCGGAAATTTTGAGAACACAATGATTTTATACAATTAAAGAAGAAGATACGTGTTTTTGTTTTGGGATGATGAGTAAGAAGAAGAAGAGAGACGTTTCGAGACTAATAAAGAGTGTGGAAAAGGGATGATCATTGCATGAGATAATCATTAGCTGTGTGTATGAGTCTTGACGAAGAAGCATAAAACCACAATACGCTCAATGGCATTATAATTAAGTTATCTTCATTTTTTTTTTGCCTAGTGTTACTCAAGAATCAAAAGATAAAGTTAATTAGAGTTAAGAGTCTTCTTTGTCAAACAAGAGTTAAATAGTTATAAATCAAAGTTTTAAGTGGTTCATACTCTGATTTAATGATCTAACTCCAGAGTCATCGATGTGTTTACCATAATTATGAGGAGTTAGTTTTTTTCTTTTCAAATTAGTCAAAATTTTTTTTATCAAAAATATATTTAGTGAAAATATTGAAAGATAAGTCAAAACATTAGAAACGTTCAACTAATTTGATATAACTTCTTAATAGTTAGAACAATCAATTAATAAGATGTTCATTTTATAATCTATTGTATGATCAGTTTGTCACCGAGTTTATGACAAAAATTATAAGTTTTTGCTCACTATTAGCAACTAAACCTAGCGATCGATAGTTCGTTGAGTATCAATAAGACATACACACACAAAAACTGTTGTATTGGAGAAACCGAATGCTAATCTAAAGCTAAGCAAAACACATGCATAAAATATTTTCATATATAAAAAAAGGGAGTTATTGGAGACAATGATGAGATTTGAAGTGAATGTGTGGTTGGGTGATTTCTGGTCTAAGCAAAGGCCACACCCAGGGACAAAAGGATGTGTTCTTGTTGTTGTTGTTGTTGTTGTTGTTGTTTCTAAGTGGTCTCATCTCATGTCCTTGATTTTGTCTTCCTCTCAAAGCCATTGTTGCTCTTTGGCCTCTCTACTTTCTCATTGTTATCTCTTATTTATCAATCATATATAAAATGATTAAATGGTAGTTTAGGATATCAATCATTTCAAACATAAGCAGCAAAAAAGAAAATATGAAAATGGAAAATTGTTTCCAAAGGGTTGGTAGAGGTGAGTGTGAGCCATGAAATGGGCTATCCAAAAGAGGGAAGATATATATTTAACTTTTTACAATGAATGAGACTTTGAGAAGACATTAAGTACACAATATTAATATTAAAAAATGTTAATAGTATAGAAAACCAAAAGTAATTAAAGGGTAATAACAGAAATGGACCAAAAGGTACTATATCAACAAACAAGACGTTGAAACATATAATTACATGTGCAATTATGCACCCAAGATTACTTGGCTTTGTTTGTCTTATACTACACAACACTAACCTCCGTACACATAACACACGTGCATTTGATATCTCAAACTCGGGGATCTTAGTTAAGCCAGCTATGAAAATTCATTTTTTTTAACGATTAAGGTTTAAAAGCCATATATGTTTAAAAGTTCTTATGTATAAAGAAAATTATATTTCTTATCATCATCATCATCACCATGATTAGCCACTGTAATTGCCTAAAATAATCCTCCCAATCTTATATCACAAGTCTTGAAGATTAGTCTTTTGAGTTTTGTTTGTTTGGCTAACGGTTCTCTATTTAAAATAAATACATATTTCAATTCTAGTTTAATCAAGTGTTGGATCAATGTTGGCCCAAAATTTGTGTGAGAGAACAAAGTGAATATAATGACTACAATGGGCTAATACTAGCCACCTAGCCTTTTTTTTTCTTGACCCAATAACCAAATAGTTACAGGATCGTTCAAAAACATTTTAACACCCTAATCAACAACACCTGGCTCAAGATGTTTCGTATCCTCCCTCGTTTCGAGCCGAATAATCGCCGACAGCTTTATTAAATAGCATAACTGATCAAACCAATCTCTGTATTGATTAAACTACGTATCTTCTTCATGCAACAACAACAAAAAAAAAAAGAGAGAGAATAATCTGACGTTATCGAAAGAAATAAGCAAAAACCTCTATTTGGCAATAATCTGACGGTTAAAACTCAATTGATCTTTCACAATTATGGTTCGTAATCCATTTTAATCAAGTGATTCGAAAATGCAGATGAATGTATATTTAAAGAAAGCAGAGCTAAGTTATTAGAAATTAGCAACCTAGCTACTAGTAGCTAGTAGTAGGGCTAGAAGATAAGATTGAAAAGGAAACACAAAAAAGAAAACCTAGTGCGGTTAAAAGTCATTTTCGAAACTATTTCAATTTACAAATTACTATGCTAATCAACATATAATTAAGGCAAATAATAGGGTCATTTGATTGAAGCTAATCAACTGCTTCACCTCGCCGCATCAATTTAATAGAGACACCTAATAGAATTTAAATCAGACATTCTTCTGCACGTGCCTTCACACGTTGCCCTTTTGGTGCTCACTTCAATTTTCTCACCTGAAGACTCTTTCATCTTCTATCTTGTTTTTGTTTTCTCTTTGGTTCTTGACACACTTATCCCATGATTAAACATGTACTGAACCTTACCATAACAGTACAATTTATTTATCATATAGTCCACTAATTTTTTTGTTGGGTGAAATTAAAATATAATCAAGAATTTTTTTTTTATTCTTAGTCACAAAAATATAATAATCACAAATCTCCCATTCATAGTCTCAGAAATTTACATTTTTTTCCCTCATCATGACCTAGAAATGGAACAAAACTGGTGAGTTATACAAACTTACAACTACAAAAACATAACCTAAAACTACGCAAAAGCTGAGATTAAAATACACAATTTTCACTTCCTAATAATCCAGTTTTATACCTTCCTAAGATGATTTAGGTCTCTCATCATGTAGAGTTCTGACCCGACCCGAGTACCCGACGCAACCGGGTCAGATGCTACAAAACAGTTCTCTTCAAGAAACTGTTTCACAGTAAGACGATCGATCCTCTGTTTTTGTCTCATCACTTCCCTCTGTTTTTGTTTTTCTCAATGTGTCGCCGCAACGTTACTTTCGTTACTTCGCCGCACCACCTGATCACTACCTTTAACGTCATCATCTACATCGTCGTCGTCGCAAGTACAAGTTTTTTCAGCGGGCGTGGCCAAGTAAGTAGGTTTGGCATCACCGGCCATAATCACCAAGAACTTTTCCGGCAAAGCTACAGGCTTCACGGCCGCCTTTTCGGGTTTGACATCTCCGGCCTCGAGATCTCTCTGGTCTTCCTCGCCGTCGAGATAACCGGAGAGACGCCAGTAAGAGCAAGCGAGGATTAAAAGAGCAAAAGCTATGAGACCGAGCATCGCAGCTAAACCACCAAAGAGATAAGGAACCGGTGAATGCCACGGTGAGTGAGGTCCTCCCATGGTGGTGGTTCTGTTCCCGTCGACGACGTTTTCTCTCGGAGGGTAATATTGTCTTCCTTCCATATTGTTTGTTAAACAAAGAGAGAGAGAGAGAGAAAAGTGTTTTATGTTTTTGTTTGTGAATAGAAAATATAAATATTTGGTGTGAGGAGGAAGATGAGTGAGGAAGGGTTTTATAGAAGAGAGTTATAGCGAATTAACGTTTGTGGATTGTGTGTGACGTATAAATTTCTCTTTTTTATTATATTTTGCGTATTGAGTTTTTTTTTAGTAATTCATTGAATATTTCCATTATTTATTTTTGTAGAGTAACTTTACAAAAAAGGCAATATGAATTCAGTTTTCGTTTATTCAATTATCATCAATGATTATTATGGAGTCGTGACGTGAATGCATAACTTATGTTATGTCTTATTTTTGCCGTTTGCTAAAGTAATTGAGATTGTGTATCCAAATGGACTAACCAATGTATATATTTTGTGAAATACAAAACAACATTAACAACTGATTTCCTATGAATTATAAAAACACATTTTAAGATAAAGTAAATAAGTCTATCTCCTCGACTCGAGCATAAACGAAAATTTTCATGTTAGAAACATAAAGAAAAAAACGTATGGCGAGATCACAAGTATTTTGTTTTGATTTAGGTTATACTGACAAAGGAATGTTGTGTATTGTGTAGTGTCTTGAGAATAGTTTACAAGTTATTCATAGGCATAGATGATGAGGTTACATGTTACATCGTATACATACATATGGGTGAGACGTGTAATGATGAGTTTGCGCTGGTTAGGTACTGGTGCATGGTTGGGACCCAAATTTAATGTGGTCTGTTTCTTAATCAGTATTACATGCTTACTTTTAAGCTTAATCAGTGGATTATTTCAAAACAAATATCTTCGATTCAATCATACTTCCAAGGATAAACAAATTAGGAATTAGTATAATATTTACTAATCAACACACTTAAACACTGTTTTAGATAATCAACAACCATTCTCATAGTGTCGAATCCACTCGAATTAAATATGGTACGACTTTATGAAAATATCTCCTTAGTGGTGTTATAACTCTCTTAATTAGTGACAACTTAAGAGATCAACATCTTACTCATTTACTATTTCTTTTCTCTAATTTGAGAAGTCAAGACTTGGATACAAACGTAATGATTTGATGATTAGATAAAGAAATTAACACTCTGAAGAAGAGAGAGGGTTTAAAAGAGGGCAATTTAAGAGATAAGGACACGAGACTGATCAAAAACGGTTCCGTTAAAGCCGGTAGAGATTTAGGTGAGCGATGCAAACGTGAAGGGATAAGCCGGAAACGTAATATAACCGTTAACGCCAAACAAGTAAAAGTGAACGTTACCTAAAACAACTAAATATTCATGCTTTCTTCATACGTTCGTATTGCATAACACATATATGTGTGTGTATGTACGTTTTATATCATAAATCACGTGAACACATATATCTTTTGAGAATTGAAAATATAATATATTGTTAATGCAAACAAAGAAAAACAGAAGGGTAGCCCACCCACCACCATGAAAATGCTTTTTAACAAGTGACTAACGATTTTATGATGATATTTTAAAAATGCACTATGCAAGCAAAATCATCACTCTAACAAGAACATACCAAATTTTTCGTTTTATAATGTAAATATTAGAGGAATACAAAACTTATATATATATATATATATATATATTTTAAAAGGGAAAGTAGAAAACCCCAATGAAAAAAGCTGGAAACAACATACCAAACCATATCCCTGTTGAGCCCTCAATTATCTCATCAATTAAAAAATATATATATTAACTTGAAAACAAATATATATGTAGGAGATAATTAACTACAATGGTCCCATGTTTTGCACAGTCTAATATGGATCAAAGTTTCATTTGGTCAAGTTCCTATCAATTGCTTTTTTCTCGATTAGTCAAACACATTGAGAAAACGATTAGAACAAATGAAAACAACACTCAACGATCACTCTTTAGTCTTTATGATGTTCATATTTTTTTTCATTAGTTTGTTTCACTTGCTAAAAAAGATAGCGTTCAAACTTTAAGGCTACTCGTTTTTAGACATCGGAGTTATAATCTAATCAAAAAAATTGGAAAGTATTTTTCTTTTTTTGTTTTCTTCTATTTGAAACCAAGTTATGAAAACAACTACAATATCTTTGCACACCCAAAAAAAAAAACTACTATATTGGCTGCTAACAAAAAAAAGGCGACGACGACTAATAAAAATCCTGATAACTTTGAAAATATATTACTGTCATAGATTTGCTCTGGTGTTGTTTATAATCAAAATTCTATATCATCATAATTACTAGTTTCAATTTTCTTTTTTGTTTTTTATCTACTTTTATCTCTAGGTCATTCGCAGGATTCACTGCCTTCAAATAACTCGATCAATCTCTCTAGGCTAGCTAGCTTTGCTTGTATTGGTCTTTAACTCGAGAAAATCTCCAAAGCTACTACTCTCTCTATACTCTTTTTCTAGCATTTTTTTTTCTTATTAACCCCAATTAATGTCCTACTAATTTTGGTAATTTCTTCCTTGTTTGGCATTTCGGTAAAATATGTGTATAAATATTTCTTCTTTTATTTGTTTGCGTCACCTTAACGTTTTAAGATTAGTTTCGGCTTCGGTCTTCTCGAGGTCTCCAGGCAATGACAGGAAATGAATGAGGAATATTTGTTGTGTTTGTTCTTGTCGTCTAGGTAAAATTTTCGTACTGTTCGTATGAATTATAAAAAAAATAATTGAAAAAGAATGGGTCCAATCCTCAGCGTCAGCTTCCACTCAGAGCTACACGTCAAGAACAAACGATCATTCTATCATTTCCAATCACTTACGTTTTATTTTTTTTATTTTTGTCTATTCCAATCACTTACGTTACGTCCTCTTTTCCACATTTTTATTCTTCTCTTAATTTTTCATTGTTTTCTAACTAATTATATAATAAACATAATGTTAGTTATATAATAAGCCCACTAATGCTATTGTATTAATAAGTTTTCTACGATTTTATATTTTATAATTGAATAAAGAAGGGAACATTTATAATATTACAAAACTCCTCAAAAAAGCTTCCAAAGCAAACGATGTTCTGACAAAGATTCCAACCAAATCCCACTCTCTCATTAATCTATTGCGATTTAAGTTAAAACTCTCGTTTTCATTCTTAGTTTATACATGCATGTTGATTCTCTTAATTAAAAAACCCATACGTTTGGATCCGATGTGTATATATCCCCTATATTAGTAAAAGATAAGTATAAAAAATGCTTCCGAGTCGGGTTAATTTCAAAAAGTTACCCGAAATTTGTAACTGGATCTTTTAAAGTTGGATAGATTAATGGGTTTGGATACATACACCGGATACTTTCCAAATCTAATTTTAGGATTGTATTATTTCCATAACTAATTATAGAATTTACTAATATTTCTCTAACTAATTAAATACAATCTATTTAAAAAATATTATTCTTCTTTCACTTTTATTTGATATTATTTTTAATTTATGATATTATACTATATAGTATAAATATTTAATAAAATTTAACTTTTTTTTGCATATGTTTCAATTTGAATTTTTCAAAACAGACATATAATACTCAACTACACTCGGTTAAAATCATTATAAATATGACCAATATTAAAACCATTGTTACATGAGCATATTTAAAATTTCAAATAGTTTTAAAATATTATAAATAAAAGGTTCAAATACATAAAACTTTTAGAATTTAAAATATTGAAATATTTTTTTGAAGACATAAATGTAATTTTCGAGACATAATGTTTATTGATAAAATATATTATATATCAAACTATGATACGGGTTGGAATATAATGATAAAGCGAGTTACGAATAAAGTTTTTTTACAAAATGAATTCTGTTACGGGTTGGACTTTCAAAAAATATATTGTAATATGTAATTTTTACGTATATTCCTATTTTTACTACAAAAATGGTCAAAATGAATAATTTATCGACAAATATTATTTCGTGCTGTTAAATTTTCACCGTGTTTTTAATTGTATCAAAACTCAGTATATGATTATTTACTCGCTCTTTTCTTTATTATTTTATTTAAACTTATTATACAAATATACGATTTACCGTAATCGACTGCACTCTAACAAAATTAAAATATAACATATTCTAATCCGTTAAAGTTATATATATGTAATTATTTCCCCCGCGCTATAGCGCGGGTCCGAACCTAGTCCCATATTAAACTACAAGTAATTAGGAGCAATTTTAACTATAACCGAATATTTCTAAGTATAAATTAAGATACCGAAAGAATTATATATGTGGTCCGTATCAATTCCCTAATCTGAGTTAAGTAAGTGTTCGCCTATTAATTTATGTTTATGTATAAAAATTCTAGATGGAGCGCTTAACCATAGTTAAACAAACACGTTTGAAGTGTTGATAATATAGAAAAATCACTTCGAATATGCGAGAGCTTCTAATCAAATTAATAATGGTCGTGACATAAATACGATCATTATAATACATGTATGTTTCGGATAAAAAGAGTAGTTCATATTCCCTCGAAATTTTTTTGGTGGATTAATTTTAAACAACGACAAAATATTTGGTTGCTGCTCGCAAAGAAAGAAGAGAAGATATGTTCTACAATTAGCATATCCTCTACCTCTATCATGTAACAAAACTTAATCTCGTGCATGGATTGAAACTACCTTTAGTAATTTATTGATAGAAAATGATAAAGTATGTGCTTCTTTTGAGAGATGGAAGTACAATTATTATAGGAGACATGAATAATCTGATTATTTTCTTACAAGAAAGGGTAGTCCCACGTCTTAATAATTTGATTTCAATCTTTTTTGGAACAAGATAATTTTGACCCCCACAAGTACACATAACAACAACACTACTTCCCAAAATCCCTATTTCCATTTTTTTCATACATATAATGATAAATTGTGTAATATAACGTTGCTATAAGAAAATAGTTTCCTATACACAATTTTAAAGCTTCAGAAAAATAAAAATGAACTATGAATCTAAAGGAGAAGATGACAAAATAATAAAGAAGAGAGTCAAAAAAAAAAAAAAAGCGAAGAAGATATAAAGCTAATTAAGTTTATGTTTGGGACTTCTCGCTTTTTTATTAGTAATTTTCTTTTAATTTTACCAAATATATGTCGTCAGTTTCTTAATGCTTTGAGATTTTTTAATCAGCGTGAGAAAAAAAAAAAAAGCGTTAACTAGCAAATTCCGTGATCGAAAAATCTTAACATCTTTATTAGTTTGGTTTGGTCCCATCGAAGCTCACTTTAACATCTTTATTTACGATTCTGAAATAGGCTAATTAATATAGAGGACAATACTACTACTAGCTAGTTCTCTTTCTTAAAAATACAAGTATGAAATTATTTCTCTTCATGTACATAAATAACGAAATAAGCTATGGGTTTGTTGCGTGCATGGTATATAGTACATATCGTGCTCCTATAAACCAGTAAGAGTTATATTCAAATCAACTACTAATTTATAGTTTTAAGTAGGTTTTTGGTAGTTCAAATGTATTTTTCTTTCCCTAGCCCATTTCCTTTATAAATTTTTAGTGTCAATATTTTTGTTTTTCGTTCATATTTAGCTAGCTCTTTTTGTTGTGCACCATATATAGCTTGCTTTTTTTTCATCTTTGAATTGAGATTTGCAAGACAAGCAAGTAAATATTAAAAGAAAAGAAAACTAAATTAATAAGAATGATTAGAAATAAATAAAGAAATATAGTTTTTAGCTTGATTCAAATTAATTAGTTTCTTTCTCTTTGTTTCTTATGAAAATCAGTAGAAGTGATCATCATTGTATAAAACTGATTTTATTACTGGTTAGTTTGCTTAGATCATTCAATTTTTAAAACTCAAGCCTTGTCTCATAGATAGATAGTGGATTTGGTACTAAATGTCTAGAAGACAGAGAGAAAAAATTGCAAGTGGTTCGTACGTACAAAATGCTATTAGTACTTTTTGAAAGTTATAACTCATCGGAGTCCAATTATATATGTTCTTTCAATGAGTGTTCGTCTACTCATCCTCCACTCCAAAATCTTAGTTACTTCTTGTCTGCAACCAACCTTGCCATTTTGGTCACCTTGAAATTGTAGATAACAACAATATGCATTTAAAAAAAAAATTATTTTTGTGGAAATGGTTATATATTAACAAGTATACATTGTTGATGACAAGTAATATGATATAGATGAGGTTAAAATTTAATATAAGAGAGTCAAGATGGTTAATAGTCAATCTCCTTTGACGACCAAAGACTGGTGAGGGACTCTCTTGATGTGAACAAAGGTAGAGTAGTCTTTGTTCATAGGTTGCTTCCATGGCTCTCCATCCATTTGCATAAACGCATCTTTCCATTCTCCTCCTCTTATCTCCAGCCGTATCGCTGCCGCCTGTTTGTGAAAAAACCCATTCGTTTGCGTTTTGTCAAAGGCAACATATATATATAAATCTAATGACCTTCTCCTAACCAAAAAAAGGTCTAGAAATTAACCCTCGTCTCATTATTCTCATTAAAAACTAGCTGATGTTATAAATGACATTCCTATATGACAAAGAAATTTGGAAATATATAAGTTAATAACACTCTTTTTTGTCTACCCCTACTTGTGATGGGGTAGCTATTATATTTTTATATGGTCTTAGCACTTGACTGGTCCGCTAAAGACTAGTCCATAATTAGCTATGATAAAGAAAAGACCTAAATTAAAGTCTAGTTTTTTGCTGGCCACACAACGGTTAATAGTAACATATGTTTGGTAGATCCGATCTGACCCTAATTGTTTTTTATGCTCTAAGAAAACCGGTATGGTTATGATATATCAGATTGTCAATTAGCTGAAGATATGTTAACTGAAGTACCTGTGCAATGTGTTTGGCAGAGATGAGTTCAACCATAACGAAGGAAGCATGCCATCCTTGCTTTAACCCAAAGATCTCAACCAACCCATCATCGGCTTGTGCTTCCACAAAGCCTCTCTGTTACGTACAACTCAAGCATGCGTTAAGAAGAAGCTATTCCAAACAGTAAGAAGAGTTAAGTGAGAAGAAATGGGCTTGTTTAACCTTTTCAAGATAATCTTGTTTGAGATTTCCCCAAGGGTTTCTTCCACTTCCATAGCTATGTAGATTCAATGCAACAACTGCTCTTATACTGGTCCCAAAAACCAACAAACACACATATTTACTTAGATACCAAAATCAAGAGGTTTGTTTATCTCATTTATTGTGTTCTTGTTCCAATTCTGTTGATACCTTTTGGGAACTGGTACTTTCTCCCACTCGGATGAGTCCATCTTTTTTATATGCAATGTCATAATGTTCTTGAGACCCCTAAACCCCAAAAAGTTTACAAACCGGATTAGATCACAATTTGAGGTTATAACATATGTTGTCTTGGTGTTAGTATAAACCTTAAACCCGGGTCGTTCATGCAGTGCGTGAGGAACCAACCCTGAGAGCAACCATATCCTGAATATATAATCTGCAACAACATATCGTTAGCTTTCTTTCTTGATAAAAAGAAATTGCTTCGAGAGAATTATCAAACTATCAAGAGACTTTAGTATGACCTTATTGGCGATAGGGCCATTTGCAAGGTGAGGCTTTTCATTGCGCAAATGGTGAAAACCGTAAGCCACTTGAGCATCCATACCTATACTAAAATAATTGTAGAAGACTCCTTCATAACCATTCGTCGTTGGAGGCTTCTCTCCCTCTATCTCCAAATCCTTCAACATAAAGTTATCACTAAATTACAACCCACCAAAGACTAATTTATCATCACAAAAAAAGTTTTAGTTTTGTGTATTAAGTAATGATGATCATTGATCAATACCTGGTCAATGTAACAATCTTGTGTAGACTTTAAAGAATAAGGAGGATCCACAATTTCACCAGAAGGCATTGTAATCATGATATTCCAACTGCATCAGTATATAACTTCAACATCAGAAGATCAAGTAGAGTGCTCAAGAACAAATTGTTTATATTACATTACAATTTTACCTATCTAGACGGCTTATGGGAGCAATACTTGCCCGATGAAGTGTTCGTTTTATCGCAGACTTCCACGCAAATGGGAACGACCCTCCCTGTAAACACCAAATGTTTTAAATTAACCCTAATTACAACACACATAAGATTTATAAGGTAACATGTTAAGACAATAAGTTTGTTTTATTCACACACCCATCCGAAGCTTCTGGAGAGATCATTTCCGGTTCCGAGTGGCATTATAGAAACAGGAGGAACAGGTTGTCGGTTCTGCAAATTGAGTTCACCGAGGCAACCTAGAACCCAACCAACGGTTCCATCTCCACCTGCAACCTGTAACGAGTGATCAAACCAGTGGCAACAAAAAAAAACAGAACATATTCCACATTTTGGATTAATGATGAATCAATCCAAAACAAAAAAGAAGTACCACAATTCTCATCTTTTCACGAATCTCTTTAGCACATTCGTCTCCACGAGAAGCTAATGCCTCTAAGCAACCCAATCCATATCTAATAAACTCGTTAGGCTTCACTTCCGTTAAATCAAACACCTGCACTTTTCAAAATTAGTATCAAAAATCCAAATACCTCCACAAAGAATAAGAATGTGGTACCTGTTCTTGGCTGATAAGATCCTGGAGACGTTCTTTGATGAGAGGACCTTGACGACCACCACTTTTGGGATTAACAAAGACCATGAGAGGAACTTCCGGGGTTACATCGTTGTTGTCTACCGAGGAGGAGGAGGAGGAGGACGACGACCCCGCTGAGGAGGAATCGTCTTTACGGAGGATACAATCGCGGATAGCGAGGCGGAGATATTTAGGAAGCATGACTCTTTGACGAAGCTCTTCTTTAGAGACTCTTATGCTCGCGAGATTGACCAATAAGGAGACTTTCATCGCCCCAAACGAATCGAGAGAAGAATGTCGTGGAATCATCCTCGCCGTCAATGAATCTCCGATCAACGGCGGTGAGTCCATCTCTCTCTTTCTCTCGGTCTCCCAAAAAGAAAAAAGATGGAAACTTTTTATAATCTTGTTGAACAATCAAAATATGAAATTTGAATTACACAACAGATATTGAGATTTCTAGATTTTTTGTTGAAAGCTTGAATCTTTGTTGTTGTCTTGTGATAGTTAGGAGATCTCTTTTTTAATCAAAAGGAAGGATAAAAAATTCCTGAAAACCCAAAATTTAGTTAGCGGAAGAAAGAAGGAAGAGAGATTGAAACAGAGATTTGCTCTGTTTGTTCTGTTTCGACCGTTGAGCTTATTTTCAGGACAAATATATAAATACACCCTTTCCCTCCACATTAACCACCATATTATTGTCAATAATATATTTTTGTTATTTAAATGGGCCTATTGGGCTTAGAAAGGCCTATTTAATAAAGCCTGGTAAGGTTTACTCTGCAAATTCATACAAAGAAAACGTTAATGGCGGATCTGACCTGAAAGTAGAGTAGACTCAACTCAACTGAAAAGGTTGAGACTTTTTAAGGTAAGCTCATCTTCTCTCTCTTCATTGTCTATGTTTGTTAAAAGAAATTCTCTATTTATCCAAAAGTTAGGTTCTTAGGGCTTTGCAAACTTGAAATCTAGAGTTCTCCTCGGAAACTTGTAACTTGGATCGCGTTGACTTTATTTTTCTGGGAATCCGATTTGCGGAAACTTGAATGCAATTCATCTTCTGGAAATTTGATTTCTTTTGTAGGTGATCTCATGCATGATCCTGTATTTGATAAGAACAACAATGCATAGTTATTCAATATATTAGTCTAGCTACTGTTTCATGTGTGATGTGATTTCATATCTAATATCGTTTTCCATGGGAGTTAAAACAAGAAACTAGACAAGTATTTGTTGATGGTTAGTTGTAATTTTCAAGTTAATCTGTCTGGTAGTAAAAAGTTGATTTCTCGGCCTGAATTTATCTGTAGTTGTTTATAAACTTGTGAAAAACCTGAGTCTTTTGAGTGAGTGAGTAACGCTGATGTTATCCGTGATGAGATTTTTAGATGTCGGAAACAGAGTTCAAAGTAGTGCTAGAGACATTCACATACCCTGCTAATTCAGCTCCTTTCAAGAGTTGTCATGCCTCTACCATTGTTGAGGTTAAGACCACCACAAAGTTTTCTTTCTTTGTCATAGTTTTAGTGATGGATTGAGTCCCAAACTAAAGCTTTTTTTTTGTTTGTTTATATTTTGTGAAAAAGGTTGATAAAGATCATTTCTTGGCTGCGTATTTCGGAGGCAGCAGGGAAGGAGCACCTGATGTTAAAATCTGGTTGCAGCATTTCAAGGTAGTTGATAGTCTTCTCTTCTATATCATTCAGAGTGTTGGAATCATAATGATGTGTGACGATTGATTGGTTTTCTCAGGATGGTCAGTGGGATACACCGGTTATTGTTGATGAACAGCCAGGAGTTCCAATGTGGAACCCTGTCTTGTTCAAACTTCCATCTCAACAGCTCTTATTGTTCTACAAAATAGGCCAGGAGGTTCAGAAGTATGGTGTGCTCTCAATTTAACGAATAAACTCTTTTTCTTTTGTTTCATTTCTTTGATTTTTTTTAGTGTTTTGGTGAAAAGCTCAGATGGAGTGGTTGCATGAAACGATCTAATGATAAAGGAAGAACCTGGACTGAAAGAGAACAGCTTCCTCCTGGGATTCTCGGACCCATTAAAAACAAGGTGCTTGTTGCATTGCACAGACTCGGTTACTCGATAAAGATTAAATCTTTTGTATTGGTTAGAGAATTAAAACTTCTTGTTTCTACTATCTTTTCTTCTGCAGCCTATTTTGTTTGAAGATGGGACTCTCCTTTGCGGATCATCTGTTGAAAGTTGGAATTCTTGGGGAGCGTGGATGGAGGTTTTTCAAAACTATATGGTTTGAATTCTATATTAGTATAGTATGATACAATGGTTTAACGTCGAAATGTGTTGGTACAGGTCACTTCAGACGCTGGTAGATCATGGAGAAAGCAAGGGCCAATATACATTCAAGGCAAGAGTCTTAGCGTGATCCAACCAGTTCCATACCAAACCGCAGCTGGGACATTACGGGTTTTACTTAGATCCTTCACTCACTGGCATTGACAGAATCTGTATCTCAGAATCTTTGGATGGCGGTGAGAACTGGAGTTTTGCAGTACCAACGGTACTCCCAAACCCAAATTCTGGTTTCTTGAAGTAAAAACAAAATACGTTTCATAAATAGTCTTTGCTTCAGCGCGATTTTATTGATGAAAAATACCAATAGGTATCGATGGAGTCAAGCTAAAAGATGGTAGGCTAGTGCTTGCTTACAACACAGACTCAAGAGGAGTGCTCAAAGTAGGAGTTTCTTTAGATGATGGTGATTCTTGGACCGATGTTTTAACGTTGGAGGACTCTCCGGGAATGGAGTTTTCGTATCCAGCAGTTATAGAAGCCGGAGATGGGAATGTCCACGTTACATATACATATAACAGGACACAGATTAAGGTATAATAATCAAGACATTTAAATTTGATCAACAAAGACTTAATTTGGTTTCTTTTGATGTCTTTTTATTCAATCAATAACATTTGAGTGGTCTCAATACGCAGCATGTTGTGCTCAAGACTGCGACAGATATCTCGATTCGAAGCCATACCGACATGGTGAAGCATGCATGATGAGGAAGACACGTGGGTTTGGGTTTTGTATGTACCAAAAACATTAAATTAATCTAGCAAATTTGGGTCGACTTTGTTTTTTTTTTTTTTTTTGGGTCGACTTTGTTTGTGAACCATTGATGTGGGAGTGTGACTTTCTTCTTACGGAAGAACAAAGAATGTTCTCTTTCTTGACTTGTAAGTTATGGTATTGGATTGATCGGTTATTTGAGTTTGTAAAAAAGTTGCTACTTACTAGTACTAGTTGATGAATAATATAATTGAGGAGATATATAAAAAATGTATCGTGGTCATATAAGTTAGAGATTTACTTTTATCATTCATACGTATAGATCGTGGATTTGTTGGCCAAAAAAGATTCTATCATTTATGGATTTATGTAAGAATTATTTAAATAAATAATTGTAGACTAATGGTCCAAAAATAATAATGAAACGAAATACTTCGTTGTCGGTATAGTTGAGTAGTATTTAAATCTGGTGCGACTTAACAAAAAAAATATATGTGATTGATGGATACCATTTATTTAAAAGAAAAAAAAATCTGGAAAATAAGTAACAAAACCATTTCGATTACTTATTTCCATATTCGAAAATATCATGTAATTTTGCACCGTGTACATTACGTATGTATTAGTGAAAATAATAAATAAAAGATCGAGGAACATCATTAGAAAATGTGTTATAAACATCTTTAGAATTGCAAACACCATCAGAAGAACGTCATGTTTACGAACGGTTATGGCCAGTGGCGGAGGTAGAATTTCCATTCATGAGGGTCAAAATGTAAAAAATAAAATTTATAAGGGTCAGTTATATAATTTAGCAGGGGTCAGTTTGATAATTTTAAGCCAAAATCAACTAATTTTGAAGTTTCATCAGGGTCAATTGACCCTTGTACTTGGTCATTGCCTCCGCCCCTGGTTACGGCTGCATATATACGTTTAATATCAATCACTAAAAAAAATACAAAATCATATCGATGTGGTGGCAATGCTAATCATATTTACAAATTGAAAAGCATGTTTGGCTATGGAAAAAGTCTATACTGATTTATAAATTACTCCTTCGTTTTCAACCAATAAACAAACGATTAATATTATACTGCTAAGTGATTATACTATAAATCATAATTAGTAAATCGATTGACAAAAGCAGGTGAGATTTTTAACATTATTTAAAAAGATGTGGTGTTGCGTAAAAATTAAATCATGAAACCGCCTAGCTAGCCGCAAATAGAATACGGAAAATACCATGGCTTATGTCTTAATACGAATGTGTCTAGGTACAGTGCAATTTATAACGGCAAACCATTTTGTTATATATATTTTTATCACAACTTTTGTTTTCTTTTACTTCATTACTAGACATTATACTATAATTATGTGTGTGGACGAGATATAAGTGTGTATATTTTTAAAATGCATGTGCCGCGTTGGGATACTTGCAGATAAATACGCATACGTATTCTTTCTTTTTTTTGTCGCCATATAAGACTTTTATTGTTATTTTACAAAAAAAAAAAAGGTACCGACTAAAAAATACAGTATATATAAAAAAAAAAGAAATTGTAGAAATAGTGTAATGATACTTTTGGAGAAATTAATAAATGGATGAATCCAATGTGTTACATGCCCGGCGGGAATTTCGGGAGTTGTAGTAGTCTTTTTTTGATCGAATGATCGAAACAACAACATTTTTTTATTTTATTTTATTTTTTTGTTTACTGATGAATGCTATTATTGAGCCGAAGATAAGCCCACATGCATTGATGACCAAAAGAACAAATCAAAGCTACTCCTCATTTTCTTTTATTTGTTTTTATATTCAATCAAAAAGTTCATTTACATTCTTATTATATATGATTGTATGTTAGATATATATATATATATATATATATATATATATATGGTTGAATGTTCCAAATACAAATATATCAAAATACAAATAAATTTCCAGACATGTTCCAACTCGATAGAATGGGAAACAAGTGTGCAAGATGGGACCAATTATTATTTCTTAAAAAGTATTTATTAGATCATGTTCTAGTCAATGTATAAATGCCGATCTCTCATTTCGTATAGCTAGACATTGCTCGATATATAACTAAATGTCTCAAACTGTATTAGAAGACTTGTGATGGTTGTCAAAAAAAAAAAAAAAAAAAAAAGACTTGTGATGGGTTTGATGTTGATGAACCATAAAATCTTTGACATATACATAATTAAGAAAAAAGTGAAAACAGAATATGAATTACAGTACATATTACAAACTTAAAAACATAGTCACAATCGGATTTATAATCTAGATATCTTATATATAATTTATGAGTTTTGGCTTTTGTCATTTTATTTTGCAATTACATTCGAGGCTGTTATGTTCAAGAAAATCTTTTAATAGACAAAAACATTATTTTGTATGGATTTCTATTCAATTGAAAATTAAAGATGAATAGATTTTTTTGTGTGGTTGCGATGGTCCCTTGGGGACTGAATAAATAAATAATCACCTAATTTTTTGTTTTATGTAATGAATGTGCCTAAAGATAAGCATCAAGGAAGGCCATATGATCCAAATCAATCAAACACACACTTAGCATTTATTTCTTGTTTTGCGTTATATGATCCAGCTTATATATATTATGAAAGACACAACTGATTATAAAAATGTATGTTAAATGCTCCTACATCAATGTATATGAAATAATGAAAAGTATAGTTACTTTACATGGGTCATACCATACGTAGTGGGAAAACCTAAAACAGGGTCATATGAAGCCAGTGAGTTTTTATTATGATTCCTTCTTTTACTGAAACTTTAATTTGTAAATAAATGAGTTAACGAATGCGGAAATATTCAAAATATGGTGATCACAGAAAAGGTGGATGCTCTATTTGTAACGCATATGAAAGAGGGAAACTATATATTCAAAGTAGTATGGTTTTGTGGTGGACATAAGATAAGTAAGACTTCTCCACTTTATGATGTGAAACAATGTTGCCGCATTTGATTCCGATTTTTTTTTTTATGTTCATAGTATCGAACATAAGGTTGTTACACGTTTATATAGATTCAAACAAACTGTATCAAAATAATAACTTCTATAAAGTTGTTACACGTTTATATAGATCATACAGTTTGACCTCTGTCGAACCAATCTTTATAAATTATTCGTGATAAAAAAAACATACGTTGAAAAGACATCAAGAAATGGTTACAACTGTTGTGCATTTGAACTTGAACATGAGACAAAACAAGATTCGTGTTGTATACAAAAATATATATGAGAGATATGAATAAATACATTGTTCATACTTCAAAAGAAAAAAGGCACGAATAAGTAATGATTGTGAATATGTATGTGGAGGAAAGTGTCTGTGCTGCCACATCACAAACATTTGTAGACACATTTGTGAAAACCATGACTTAAGAACTCGAAACGAGCACGGTACAATCACATTCTCTCTTTATTTTTATTTTTATTTTTTCTCGCAAAAGAGTCACATTCTAAAAGGCTGGTGAAACTAAGTGTGTTTAGTGTTTGTTACGTAAAACCATTAGATAAAACTTATCAAATTCACAAGTGTTTTCTAGTGCAAAAAAAAAAGTATTTAGATCAAAGCATGTACTAATTCGTATAGACATTATTTATTTCTTTTATAAGATCTTCATATAGCCAATGTAAACGATACATAGTTTTTTCATATGTATAATATGTGAAAAATTTAAAATCCTGCGTCACTTCATAACCAACGGATTATTAACGCAAACTACGTTTTAGTAGTGTAGTGGCGAACAGTATATATGCATACTTCAATAATTAAATTTGTTCTAAAAGTCAAATTTTTAATTGTAGAGCACATCTAAATCTCTGCCTTATTGATTGATCGAAGTAGGATAAGGTCAATGGAAGACACGTTATTATAATGTGAAAGCCTTAATTTCACCTAAAGGAAAGAAACCAATATTCATCTTTTTTTGCTTGATTTAATTTCGTTTTTATAATTATGTCTATTTCAATATTGGCATTATATGAGGAGTACCCTTTTCCCATTGTCTAAGCCACAAGAAAAATAATGAATAGGGAACAAAAAAAAAACCTAATAGTTTTGACCGAAATCAAATTTAATTTTGTCTTCAGCTCTAGCTTGTTATATCTTCGAAATGGTACGATACGCGTTAGTATCCAACACCAAGTCTTAGCTACCAGATCCATATGGACCAAACGAATCGACCGTTGCAGTTGTTCAGCATGTGTAATATCTTACATATTATTTTCATCATCCAACCTTAGGATGATTGACTTGCTTAGAGTTTATTCATGTTAATCATTAATGTAACAATACTTAAGAATTTCCAAAGTCAGGATGATTGACTTGCGTAATAAATTAAAATAATGAGAGAGAGAGAGAGAGAGAGAAGAGGTGGGTATGAGAGTTGAAAAGAACACTTTTGTTTTGAGTGATTGGTTTAGTTGTGTTGGGTAAAAGCTTGACCTAGAAGATGACACGATGGTGCTCAAAATGTGTAAACATACTATTTCACAAGTGCATGTGTAAGTAAAGCTAGTTAAAATAATAATTACTCATAAGACAAGAAAAAATGATTATAATATCACATTTTCCTTTCTCATCATTCCATTCTTCCATTCATCTATCATTGAGACTTTGTGAGAAAGCGAGAAAGTTCTAAGTAAAAAAGCTTTCATCTTTTTGATTTTAATCACAACTTTCTCAATGCGCACCGACAACGTTTTTGACTTCAAAATCAAAAGTAGAACTCGTGTGTGAAAAGCAAGATTCTTTCTTTCTTTCTAGTGTATAATGTTTATATTACACACACATGTATAATCTAGCTAGTTTGTAATCATAATATCCAGATATATTGCTTCCGAAAGAATCATACACGTATAAGTTTTACAACATGTTTCTTATCTAATTATATATTATACGCAAAAAGACCCCAAAATTTGAAGTTACACTCCATTGATAAACATAAACAATGCCACTTAATTAACTTAACATGTCTCATGCTGTCATGAAATAAAATATATGCACACGTATGGAAATCCCATAAAATTAGAAAACCTATATTTTCAAAGTTGTAGCGTGCATAAAAGGTTTGTTTGACTTTTTATTATCTTCGAGAAATGAAATTGGAAACAAAAAGCCTAAATTTTTTCACATCATCATCGTAATGAAACGAGAAAGATAAAGTAAAACTTATAAATTGATGCTAATAATTAGGAAAAAAAGGTGATTGTCGAAGAAGCAATATCACGCGTTGGCCTTTTTCACCCGCACCACCCCAATCTCATCTTCACTCCTTTTCATAACGGTTATAATACTTTAAATTAAACACACTACTAGTTTACGATATAAAGAATATCACCAGAGTCATTGCATCTTGGTGTAGCTGCTGCCAAATTTTCATGCAATATTGTATATATATTAAAAGATCACTACACTCAACAGTTACAAACTTATAATTCTGCTAAGTTCTACTAGTTTTTTTTAATTTTTTTATTGTTTTACATTTTCATAGTAAAAAGATTGCAAAATTGCGAGCTAATAATAAACAAAGAAAAAAAAATGCGTAAAGGGAAAGGCAAAAGAGAGCATGCGTTACCAAAAGGGGACATCATAATTTTTGTGGCCTTTAAGGTATTTTTATTTAATTAATTAATGAAAGTGTTTCTTGATTAATTTATTAGCTTACCAAAAAGTAGATTTATTTTATTTTTCTAGTACTATTTAACAACGCCTACCAAAAAGTAATTATCCTTTTACTGTTAACAACTTAATACCGTAAGATCTACTATTGCCATCAAGTGTAACGATGAAATTCATATTATATTTGGACTAGTCTTTTTTTTTTCCTTTTTTTTTAATCGACGTATAGAGAAAGTAATAGTTTTAACTTTTAAGCCTTTACTCGCACGAAAATAATGAGAGTCACGACAGCTTTTTAATTTTATTGAGAGAGCACACGAGAAATCATCGATTGCAAGTTTCATAGTTACTTTACTACCTCGCATCCTATCTATCTAAGATAATCATACAAATTCATAGGATACAAATTACGGGAACTCTTTTTTTTTAAAAGATACAATTGCATTAAGCATATCTCTTTCTTTTGTCATATATACATTAGCTTCAATGTGATAAGCCTAATGCGAAGATATGCATGTAATCACTATATCATCTGGTCATTGGCCACTTTGCAAAGAGTAAAATTCTAAGGACGTTACGTTGTGTCATTAACTCGTTGTTATCATTATTATTACAGGTTTAGTGAAACACTACTGTGTAGTAATCTTGACATATACTTTATACCGTCACAGTTCATACATCATCGTCAAAACTTTAATTAGAGTTGTTTTTCGTCATACGGCATCATGAAGTGCTCGGCTCGGAGGCTAGGTTGCTAGAAGTGAATGCATTTTTGGATAGAAAGAAAACCGAATTAGTTACCATAAAATGAAAACGAGTTATCTTGGCAAATTAAAAATTAATATGCTGAGTCTGTTAATTACCTTAATAACTCAGTTTTACATACTTTTGAACACAAGTAAAGGTAGTCAACGCTTAGTTTAAAGTGTGATAGATATGTCCAAGTTAAAAAAAATTATATGACTAGCTCAAAGTAAACGTATAAATATAAATATCATGTCTAACTTTTAAAACGCGTATTGACTTTGGTAAGACTTTAATTTTGTACCTTTTACATAACGACACTTTATATTTTTGTTTTAATGTCCTTACAAAATTAATATAATTACTAGTTTCCTGTTGCAGATCCTAAATACAAAGTATCTACGGTGCCCTCTTTGTTTGTTTTCTTGTAATCGTCACGATTCCAAACCAAAGACCATACATATATAATTTTTTTCTAAACCCATTAAAAACCATATCCTTGTACATTTAAAACGTCTAGATATTATATTTACCTACTTCCACCTACTAATTGTTCTTTTAAAGTGTGTAAACTATATGTGATATATCACGTGAATTGAATTGCCATGGACATCTCATGAACACAAGCAGTACCTGCTTTAGACTCATGCAAAAATAAAAATAAAAAAGGATTCCTTGTTAATTTACTTTTGGAAATTTTGTTTCTAAAAAGTATATATCACGGAGAAAATGTTGAATTCTAAAAAAGTTGACATTTATCAAGATTTATTGGTTAGAAGTCTTAAAAAGCCATGTTTTGAGCTATGACTTTAACTTTTATTTTCGGTTTGATAAGACGACTTTGAATTTTTTTCGTATCTCAAATTTGTTTGTTAATGACTTTTTTGTTATCACTCCGTTTCTCTATTAGACACAAATAGACAAAAAAAAAGGTTAATATATATATAATGGTGCAACGTCAATGAATCTAAATATTCTAAACTAAGCTAATGGAAACTGAAAAGTTACTTTTTAATTTACATAAACGAATTAAACCATGAACTTTTTATTTTATTTTAAGAACTATGCTAATTAAGCTAGACTCATAGTTACATTTTGCAGACCATTCTAGTGAATATTACTACTAAAGAAAAATATCTAGTATTGCTTATAAATGATGTACAACAATGTTTTAATTTTTTATAAGCATAAGCGAAAATCTAATAATTTTGGTGGCTTAAAAAGATATAAATGTGACATTAAAAAGAAAATCCAGTTTCACTTAAGAAAGTTAATGGTCTAATACTTTGTCAAGTAGGTAGTAGCTACTAGCTATAGCTTGTACTCCAGACCAAACCTGTTCGTCTGATGGCTCAAACTTCAGAAAAAAAAAAAACCTAGCCGCTATAAATGGAACGAAACCAATAAGAAAATTCAATACTATAAATACTTCGACAATTATTATTTATTTTACATTTATTATACCTGTTAATTGATTTTTGGCGTATATATCAAAACATACTCCCTTTTTTTTTATTGTATAGATTTTTTTTCTTTTTTTTGGGCATTGATATATATATTAAAAATTAGAAGTAAAGAGGCAGAGATACATAAATACATACACCTTTTATAATTAAAAAGCGAGCTAGAAAGAGAGAAGTATCATTCACTTCTCTTCCTTCTTCTTCTTCTTCTTCTTCTTCTTCTAACCTTTTAACTTTGAATTTTCTTTCACTCTGCAACTATCTTCTCCCCCACAACACCTTTCTGTATTTACTCTTTTTTATCTTCAATTTGTTGGATCCGAAAGCTCCTTCCTTTTTTCTCATTTTCTTATTTTTTATATTAAAAATTTAATCTCTTTCTAAAAAGCCATTTTTTGTGATCCATTTGAAATCCCAATTTGTCTACTTCTCCCAATAAATAATATTATTTTCTTTTTCTTTTATAATATATAAAAAAAATAGTCTTGGAGACCTTTATTTCCTCATTGTCTTATAAAACCTATCTAAAGCCTTTTCATCTTTTTTGGCCGGTGGGATATTCTTTGAATGAGAGTTTCAGGCAAATTCCTCCTATCTATAAACATATTCATACCCTTTTTTTGTTTTGAATCCCCCTCGATCGGAAAAATTTCAGAAGAAAGCCACTTCATTCATTCATAACCCTTTGTCTGAATAATTGAGAGAACCCAACTCTAAAGATTCAATTCTTTCATTACTCTAATACTAATAAAGATTCGATTTTTATAACAATTTTTTCCCCCAATTTTTTAATTCCCCACATATAATTGAAGAAAGAGAGAGAGAGAGAGAGAGAGAAATTACACAACAACACACAAAAGTGGAAGAAGAAGAACGAGATGAGAGCTGGTTTAAGTACGATTCAACAGACTCTTACGCCGGAGGCTGCCACCGTTTTAAACCAATCTATCTCCGAGGCCGCCCGTCGTAATCACGGCCAAACCACTCCTCTCCACGTCGCTGCCACTCTTTTAGCCTCTCCCGCTGGCTTTCTCCGACGAGCCTGCATCCGATCTCACCCCAATTCTTCCCACCCCCTTCAGTGCCGAGCCCTCGAGCTCTGCTTCAGCGTCGCCTTAGAGCGTCTCCCTACTGCTACCGCCACCCCTGCTAATGATCCTCCCATCTCTAACGCCCTTATGGCGGCGCTTAAACGAGCTCAAGCTCATCAGCGCCGCGGCTGTCCCGAGCAGCAACAGCAACCCTTGTTGGCCGTTAAAGTCGAGCTCGAGCAGCTCATTATCTCGATTTTGGATGATCCGAGTGTCAGTCGGGTTATGAGAGAAGCTAGCTTTTCGAGCCCCGCTGTTAAAGCTACGATTGAACAGTCGCTGAACAATTCCTCTACTCCGGCGCCGATTCCGACTGTTTCTTCCGTCGGGTTGAATTTTAGACCCGTTGGAGGAGGAGCTCCGGTGACCCGGAATTCGTATCTCAACCCACATTTGCAGCAGAGCGCTTCGTCGGCGCAGTCAGGGGTTAATAAGAACGATGATGTGGACAAGGTTATGGATATATTGGGTCGGGCGAAGAAGAAAAACCCGGTTTTGGTTGGAGATTCGGAGCCGGGTCGGGTGATTCGCGAGATCTTTAAGAAAATTGAGGTCGGAGAAGTTGGGAATTTAGCGGTGAAGAACTCAAAGGTGATTCATTTAGAGGAGATCAATTCGGATAAGGCAGCGAGAATCAGAGAATTAGATGGGTTGCTTGAGACCCGGATTAAGAATTCTGATCCTAGTGGTGGTATAATTCTCGATCTTGGAGACTTGAAATGGCTTGTGGAGCAACAGAGCTCTGCGCAACCGCCGGCTACACTTGCGGTGGAGGTTGGGAGGACGGCGGTGGCGGAGCTACGGAGGCTTTTGGAGAAATTTGAAGGGAGACTCTGGTTTATTGGAACAGCGACGTGTGAGACTTATCTAAGGTGTCAAGTTTATCATCCATCAATGGAGACTGATTGGGATCTTCAAGCTGTGTCCGTAGCAGCGAAAGCTCCGGCGTCTGGCGTTTTCCCGAGGTGGGTTGTGTTAAAGTTTCGTTTTTGGTAAATAAAATCTCAGCTTTTTATGGTTTTTTCTCAGCATGATTGATGTTTTGGTTCAGGCTTGCGAACAATTTGGAATCATTCACGCCATTGAAGAGCTTTGTGCCTGCAAATAGGGCATTGAAATGTTGTCCACAGTGTTTGCAGAGTTACGAGCGAGAACTCGCTGAGATTGATTCAGTATCTTCTCCGGAGGTTAAATCTGAAGTAGCTCAGCAGAAACAGTTGCCACAGTGGCTGTTGAAAGCTAAACCGGTTGATCGTTTACCGGTAAGTTGTGGTTTTTGAATCTTCTCTTTGTACAACAGCAATGGCTTTATGATATGATTGCAAGATCATAGCTTGATTAGTTCCTAATGGTTTGAATTTTTTTTTAATTACAGCAGGCAAAGATTGAAGAAGTGCAGAAGAAATGGAATGATGCGTGTGCGCGTCTTCATCCTAGCTTTCATAACAAGAACGAGAGGATTGTTCCGATTCCAGTTCCTATAACGTTGACAACAACCTCTTCTTATGGTCCTAATATGCTTCTTCGTCAGCCGCTGCAGCCTAAGTTACAGCCCAATAGAGAGTTGCGTGAGAGGGTACAGTTGAAGCCTATGAACTCTTTGATGATTGAGCAGGCCAAGAAGAAGAGTCCTCCAGGGAGCCCGGTTCAGACAGATCTTGTTCTTGGACGAGCAGAGGTTTGTCGATTTGAATATTTTTTTACTGTGAATGGAATTGTTTATTGTTCAAAAACAGAAACCTGATGTTAAAATACTTGCGTTTGTGTATTTCAGGATTCAGAGAAAGCTGGGGATGTGCAAGTGAGAGACTTTCTTGGCTGCATATCTTCTGAATCAGTGGAGAACAACAATAAGATCAATGTTTTGCAGAAGGAGAATCTTGGGAATTCATTAGACATTGATTTATTTAAGAAGCTCTTGAAGGGAATGACCGAGAAAGTTTGGTGGCAGAACGATGCAGCCGCTGCCGTGGCTGCAACAGTTAGTCAATGCAAACTGGGGAATGGGAAACGACGTGGTGTTTTATCAAAGGGAGATGTCTGGTTACTGTTTTCTGGACCGGATAGAGTTGGGAAGAGAAAAATGGTGTCAGCTCTGTCTTCCCTTGTGTACGGGACAAATCCAATTATGATTCAGCTTGGCTCGAGACAGGATGCTGGGGATGGAAATCCTAGTTTCCGTGGTAAAACCGCGTTGGATAAGATTGCAGAAACTGTTAAGAGGAGTCCGTTTTCTGTTATCTTACTTGAAGATATTGACGAGGCGGACATGTTGGTGCGTGGAAGCATAAAACAGGCGATGGATAGAGGCAGAATTCGTGACTCGCACGGGCGTGAGATCAGTTTGGGAAACGTGATCTTTGTTATGACAGCAAGCTGGCATTTTGCAGAGACCAAAACGTCGTTCCTTGACAATGAAGCAAAACTCCGGGATATGGCGAGTGAAACCTGGCGTTTGAGGTTGTGCATGCGGGAAAAATTTGGGAAACGACGAGCGAGTTGGCTGTGTAACGACGAGGAGAGGCTGACGAAACTGAAGAAAGAACATGGATCGGGATTATCTTTCGATTTGAACCAAGCAGCAGATACGGATGATGGTTCACATAATACAAGCGATCTAACAACAGATAATGATCAAGAAGAGCAAGGATTCAGTGGAAAGCTGTCACTGCAATGCGTTCCATTTGCGTTCCACGATTTTGTCAGCCGTGTAGACGATGCGGTAGCATTTCGGGCAGTTGATTTTGGAGCTGTGAGGCGTAGAATCACAGAAACATTATCCGAGAGATTCGAAACAATAGTAGGCGAATCGTTGTCGATAGAAATTGAAGAAGAGGCTCTTCAGAGAATATTGAGCGGAGTGTGGTTAGGGCAGACAGAGCTAGAGGAATGGATAGAAAAGGCGATTGTTCCGGTGTTGAGCCAGCTTAAGGCTAGAGTGTCGTCTTCTGGTACTTACGGTGACAGAACAGTAGCTCGGCTGGAGCTAGATGAAGATTCCAGCGAACGTAACGCCGGTGATTTACTGCCGACAAGTATTACATTGGCAGTATGAATGAGTTGAGGAATTGAGAACAGAGATGGGGAGTGTTTTCTTGTTGTTGCTGTTGCATTGGAACTGTGGAAGGACAGGGATGTAAATATGTCTCAACTGGTTTTGGCGGGGGAAAAAAGGGAAAACAGTTAGGGGTAAAAAACAGTAAAAACAAAGGGAAAGAAAGGTGTTTATAGTTTTTTTTTTTTTTTTTACTCTTTAGTTTTGTTTTTATGTTTATGTCATTATGTGTATGGTAAACGGGAGGGGTGATTTATGTAGCAATTATAGATATATTTATTTGATAGATAAATAATGAAGATTAATAAAGTTTAAAAGTATATTTTATTCTTTCTTTCATTAGTCGTCGACTCGTCGTTCCTTTTATAATAAAATTAATCCAAAGAAGGTAAATAGGATTAGATGCGTGAAACAATTTGCATTTTCATTAGTCGTCGTTTATGTAAGGGGATCCATTTTTGATTATTTCGATCTTTTTTAAAGAAAAATGTGTGTAAAAGCAGATCTGAAAATGCAGAAAATCTGAAATATTCTTGCATTTCTCTGTACAAACCGAAAAAAAATGTAAGAGCAAAAAGACAAAAATGGAAAAAAGGCAAACAAAAAGTTTCCAAAAAAAGAAAGATAACACACTCGAAAAGTTGAAAAGCTAAGGAAGATCCAATAAAGAAGAAAAATATTAAATTTTTTTTTAAAAAAGAAAAATTTGGTTCACTGAATGATGAACATTGCATGTGTTAGATCATTTAATTAAACTATATTTCTTCAATTATTATTGTTGCATTTTTGACCTTTTCCTCGAAACTCTTTTTTTCTTTTTGATAATACTAATAAAATAATAGAGTCACTCTCTACGAGTAGTATTAAATTATTACTTTATCCTCAGAGCTTACCTGTTACAACTACAAAAAAAAGGTATGACGCAAAAAAGTCTCACAGATTCTTCTGATACTACTTTTTAGGGAAAATTCCATAAAAAATCTCCATGTAATTTTAATTTGGACGTTTAATACCCAATGTTTTTGGATTGGAAACAAAATACCTGATTTATTAAACGTTATCTATTTAATACAATAAATATTAAAAATTTGTCTGATTGAACAAACCGCTTAAAGGACGTTAATGACATCGATGGAATGAGTAAACCGAGCATGGTTAACAAAACGTGGGAAATTGGGGTTAACAAAAGACTACAGTGTCCTTTTCTTATTTCCCCAAATCGATTTGGGATCTATAAACCCTAATCGAATTTCTCTCTTCTTTTGCTAGGAAATCGAGAGAATGGGGAGCCAAAGCTATGGGTCTGATGCTAATTCAGCTAGTCGGAACTGGGGTCCTAATTGCTACTGTGGTAGAGCTACATCGATTATCAAATCATGGACAAACGATAATCCGGGAAGAAGATTTATCAGATGTGGTGTTCATGGTTTTGTCAACTGGGCAGATGAAGATAAGCCTTATGGTTGGCAGAAGGTGAGCTTATTAGAAGCTAGAGATGAGATTCGTCAGCTGAAAGACGAAATGAAGGTGTTCAAAGAATCTGTACAGGCCACTAATGAACAAGGTTTGACAGATATGAATAGCGTTTTAGTTAACAAAGATGAGCAAGAGAAGTATCAGCTAGAAAATGAAGTGAAGGCATGTAATGAGAGGGAAAAATTGCTGAGGCAGTTCATTGTGTTGTCTTGGGGAAGTTTCATTCTTGTAATTGCGATGATACTTGCAATGGGGAAGAAGTAATTTGGCTTGTGTTGTTGTTCTTGTAGTTTATTGTATGTTTGAACCTGTCTTGTTTGTTGTCTGTGAGTTGAATTCAAGCGTCTGTAACCATCCGATTTCCAAAAAAATGAAAACATTCCGATTGATCCAACATTTTAGCCGTTTAGTTTAAAACATACAAGGATCTGACCAAAAACAACCAAAGATCCCACCAAAACATCATCCTACAAGGTTAATAAGAACCTAAGAAAATACTAGCCTATTTATTTTTAGGTTGCCAAACATCAAAGACTTTGTCAGTCCATGGAGACATAAAGTAGATAGGGGGCTTAGGAGCATCTGATCCTTTTCCACGACCCTTCCCACGAGCTTTGCTACGACCTTTCCCTTCTCCATTTTTAACTCCAGGAGGACGTCCACGAGCCTTGCCTGTGCCACTTGGATTAGCTGCTGGAGGAGCACTAGAATGCTGAGGGTTTTGTGTGGATTGGCTTTGAGAGACAGTTGGTGTGGATTGACTTTGAGCTTGCTCCCACCGCCTTGGTGCATTGTGTATGCTCCATGGATCATCATTATCCTAGCATATCCCCATTCATAATCAACAACATGATTCATATACAAATAACAAGCATATATGTGAATGAAAATACCATCAAACTTACCAAATGCTTCCTTGGTCTCCCTCTTTTGCGTGAAGGTGGTGGGTGTACAGTAGGGTTTTTGCAAGTGCTTTTGT